TTCATGAGTTACTCCTTTTGAGTCCTCTTAATTCCCAATCGAAAAAAACCTCAAGTTAATCGTCAGGACTACGAGTCATGTTCTAACGACTAAAGGCATTTAAATCTGTTTTCTGCTCTCTAAGGTTATCTTAAGAGTCGCTCAGTTTCTCCGCATTTTAGCTTTGGCCACTAGTTTATTGTTATTGTTAATAAACATGTTTACACCTTTTTTTTCATTGTCCAAAAGTTTAGCAACCAGCTGGTCAAGGCTTATATGTAACATCCACGTTAGGTAGTTGTTGACGAATTGCTTACACCTGTTATTCCCAATGGAGCATAGGCCGCCGACCAGCATTCTCCTACCCACTCTGTCCTGAGCCTTCTTTTCTAGTTCTATCCAATTCTTGATCATTTTTCTCATGTCTATTTCCATTTCCCGGCGTAATGTGTTCTTTGGTCTTCCTCTTTTCCTTTGGCCTTGAGGATTCCAAGCGAGGGCTTACCTTGTGACACAGTTGGGTGCTTTCCTTAATGTGTGTCTTATCCACTTCCAGCGCTTCTTCCTAATTTCCTCCTCCGCCGGAATCTGGTTTGTTCTCTCCCACAATAGGTTGTTGCTGATAGTGTCTGGTCAACGGATCCGAAGTATTTTGCGTAGACAGCTGTTAATCAACACTTGTATCTTCTGGATCATGGCTTCCGTAGTTCTCCAGTTTTCCGCCCCAGTAGACAGTAGAACTGTTTTGACATTTGTATTGAAAATTTTGCCTTTGGTGTTGGTTGACAGTTGTTTCGAGTTCCAGATATTCTTCAATTGTAGATATGCTGCTCTTGACTTATCGACCCGTGCCTTCACATCTGCATCAGATCCACCGTGTTCATCAATGATCCTGCCCAGCTATGTAAAGGTTTTTACATCCTCCAAAGCTTCTCCGTCGAGTGTGATTCGATTGGTGCATGCTGTGTTGTGTCGGAGAATCTTGCTTTTCCCTTTGTGTATGTTGAGGCCTACGGCTGCAGCACTGGTCTTCTCCTGCATTTGTTGTTATGTGTGCGATAGAAGAGCCAGATCATCTGCGAGGTCTAGGTCGGCCAGCTGCATCCTAGCTATCCACTGTATCCTATGCTTCCCCTCAGACGTTGACGTCTTCATGATCCAGTCGATCACCAGGAGAAAGGGAAAGGGTGAGAGTGAGCAACCTTGCCTGACACTGGCCTTTACTTCAAACGACTTTGTCAACTGTCCTCCATGCACGATTTTGCAGTTTAATCCATCATAGGAATTCGTATGATATTGACTGTCGAAGAAGCTTTCATAGTGTTTTCCTGTCCACGTTGTCAAATACTTTCTCGTAGTCAATGAATTTAATGTAGAGTGATGAATTTCATTCAATTGATTGTTTCACAATGATCCGTAGTGTTGCGATTTGGTCTGTAGAGGCCGATCCTTATGGAATTCAGCCTGTTGGTCTCGAAGTTGGGCGTCTACGGAGTTCTTCATGAGTTACTCCTTTTGAGTCCTCTTAATTCCCAATCGAAAAAAACCTCAAGTTAATCGTCAGGACTACGAGTCATGTTCTAACGACTAAAGGCATTTAAATCTGTTTTCTGCTCTCTAAGGTTATCTTAAGAGTCGCTCAGTTTCTCCGCATTTTAGCTTTGGCCACTAGTTTATTGTTATTGTTAATAAACATGTTTACACCTTTTTTTTCATTGTCCAAAAGTTTAGCAACCAGCTGGTCAAGGCTTATATGTAACATCCACGTTAGGTAGTTGTTGACGAATTGCTTACACCTGTTATTCCCAATGGAGCATAGGCCGCCGACCAGCATTCTCCTACCCACTCTGTCCTGAGCCTTCTTTTCTAGTTCTATCCAATTCTTGATCATTTTTCTCATGTCTATTTCCATTTCCCGGCGTAATGTGTTCTTTGGTCTTCCTCTTTTCCTTTGGCCTTGAGGATTCCAAGCGAGGGCTTACCTTGTGACACAGTTGGGTGCTTTCCTTAATGTGTGTCTTATCCACTTCCAGCGCTTCTTCCTAATTTCCTCCTCCGCCGGAATCTGGTTTGTTCTCTCCCACAATAGGTTGTTGCTGATAGTGTCTGGTCAACGGATCCGAAGTATTTTGCGTAGACAGCTGTTAATCAACACTTGTATCTTCTGGATCATGGCTTCCGTAGTTCTCCAGTTTTCCGCCCCAGTAGACAGTAGAACTGTTTTGACATTTGTATTGAAAATTTTGCCTTTGGTGTTGGTTGACAGTTGTTTCGAGTTCCAGATATTCTTCAATTGTAGATATGCTGCTCTTGACTTATCGACCCGTGCCTTCACATCTGCATCAGATCCACCGTGTTCATCAATGATCCTGCCCAGCTATGTAAAGGTTTTTACATCCTCCAAAGCTTCTCCGTCGAGTGTGATTCGATTGGTGCATGCTGTGTTGTGTCGGAGAATCTTGCTTTTCCCTTTGTGTATGTTGAGGCCTACGGCTGCAGCACTGGTCTTCTCCTGCATTTGTTGTTATGTGTGCGATAGAAGAGCCAGATCATCTGCGAGGTCTAGGTCGGCCAGCTGCATCCTAGCTATCCACTGTATCCTATGCTTCCCCTCAGACGTTGACGTCTTCATGATCCAGTCGATCACCAGGAGAAAGGGAAAGGGTGAGAGTGAGCAACCTTGCCTGACACTGGCCTTTACTTCAAACGACTTTGTCAACTGTCCTCCATGCACGATTTTGCAGTTTAATCCATCATAGGAATTCGTATGATATTGACTGTCGAAGAAGCTTTCATAGTGTTTTCCTGTCCACGTTGTCAAATACTTTCTCGTAGTCAATGAATTTAATGTAGAGTGATGAATTTCATTCAATTGATTGTTTCACAATGATCCGTAGTGTTGCGATTTGGTCTGTAGAGGCCGATCCTTATGGAATTCAGCCTGTTGGTCTCGAAGTTGGGCGTCTACGGAGTTCTTCATTCTGTTTAAAAGACTTCGCGGTATTGAGAGAAGAGTGATTCCCCTGTAGTTATCACACCTGCTGAGATTGCCTTTCTTTGGTATTTTGATCAGGTGTCCTTTCCAGTCTTTTGGTACTTGTTCTTCATCCAAAGTCTTGCTGAAGAGAATGTGGAGTATCCTCGCAGTTACTCCTACATCTGCTCTTAGTGCCTCTGCTAGAATGTTGTCTGGTCCAGCTGCTTTGCCACTCTTTGTCTGATGGCCATGCTGATCTCTTCAGTTGTTGGTGGGCCGACATCGATTGGGAGGTCCGTAGGTTCTGCTTCGGTGTTGGGTGGATAGAGTGGGTTTGGTCGATTCAAAAGCTGCTCGAAGTGCTCTACTTGCCTGTTTCGCTGTTCTTCAAAGTTGGTGGTCACTTTGCCTTCCTTGCTTTTCAATGATCGTTCTGGTTTACGATAATTTCCAGCGAGCTTCTTTGTTGTATCATACAATTGTCTCATGTTTCCTTCTCTTGCAGCCTTTTCCGCCGTCATTGCTAGATCTTCCACATATTTACGTTTGTCCGTTCTGATGTTCCTCTTCATTTCCTTGTTTACTTCTGTGTATTCAGCTTGTGCCATAGCTTTCTCTGCTGCCTTCTTTTTCTTCCTTTTTTGATTTTTACCCAGTGTGTCAACAGTGATCCATTCCTTGTGATGATGTTTCTTGTGACCCAGAACCTCATGACATGTTGAAGTGATTGCCTCCCTGATCCCCTTCCAGTTGTTCTCCATAGTGGTTTCCTCTCCATTGAGTAGATCGTGAAAGGCCTGAGACCTATTGCTGATGGCTATCTTGAATTTGTTGTCAGTTATGACGTAGGACCAGGCACATATGTACATCGGTCCAAGTTGCCATACCTCATTAGCACAACAAGATGAACGCCGAATTCATAGAAGTAGTAACTTCAATGGTAGTAATGTATAAAAAAAGGTTTTGTATAATGATATAGTACAGGAAGAAAGAATTATTTAGTAGAAAGAAAGATATGAAGCGATTTTAATTTCATTGTTTAAGGGAAGACTAAATGTGTATACACCGACGCCATTGTGGTCGATTCTGAGCCATGTCGCCCAGAATTTATCAGTATCCCGAAGGAAGACCGTATTAACGTTTCATGATGTTGTCCGCCTCGTTGTCCAGTGCTTCTTGGCTGGCAGTAACCCCAAAAAGGCTCTATGCGGACTAATAAGTGGGGCAAGTTTGGTTGCTGTTAAGTGTGCGAACAATTTTTAGCCCAAAATTCGATCACTGTATTTACACACCACAAATGTGAGCAGAGTGACGATTGCTTTTTAATCTACTAGCAATCAACTTGTAGCACGATAAAATGTGATCATGATTAACTGGTAACAAATATTAGTTCGGGAAATTACAAAGAATATATACCACACAACTCAGTATGCATTATTTTAGACTATTTATTTCTAGCTTCTTGATTGTGCAGTCGCATTACTTTAGTATTTTATGTTACAAATATCAGAGATTTCTAGTCACTGAGTTATATGATCTACCTTTTAGTCAGCAGTCTTGGATCAGGACTGAGCTTTAAACGCTTGGACTGTTTCACTGAACTGCGCTCAAATGTCCTGGTACGGCCACGGGTGGAAAGAGTTCTCTCTCCATCTCGAAATGCCCTCACATGGCCACACGTATACAGCCACTGCCAGGAAAGTCCTTCTCGCAGCGGGGGTGTTGTTTACGAAATTGAGAGGACGAGAAACAAATGTCCGGTACTTTAACCAGGTTGGTGGATATGGAGGATACACCTTAGGGAGTTGGAAAACCCTGACTCCAAACCAATGGTGCACATGGGCTCCAGGATCAGGATCCTGCCCACACACAAATTAAGTGACTTGTGTGGCGCATATGCATTTGGTGCCTCTTTGTACCAATATTTATGTGTTCACATACAGAAAACAAATTCACTGAACTTTTGTTTTGTAGGTGATGTACACCTGTTTTTTATACAATAGTTTCTTTGATATTATCGTTCGCTTCTATTCTTGATCTTTAGGTCATTTATTTTATCTTTCGGCAAACTGGTTGGCACCTGAATTTACAGTCACTCATCACACTGCACAATGGACGAAGAAGAACTTTCTTTTATACCCTACAACACATCTTACGTGTATGTTTCGGCTAGTCATATGTAAAATTGATAATGTAGTTTATATATATATATATATATATATATATATATATATATATATATATATATATATATATATATATATATATAATACCTGCTTATAGCTGCAGTACTATCGTTTAATGTCCAATCGTAACATGAGCTAAATCGTACTGAAACAGTCTCTAGGTTAATTACAATTAACTTGAGAAGTATAAACCAACGTATTATTAAATGAAGTAAACACCTATGGCTTTCATTCGAAACTACTTTTTTATATCGTATCTAAAATACTTGTGTATTATTGTTTTAAATCCATTATTTTAAAAAATCTTAGGTGGAAGCCCCCAATAAAACTATCTGATTGCTCGTCTGAATATCTCCAAAATTGTCCTGTTGACTACAGTCTTTTGGAAAACCCCTTTACTTCCAAACCAGACGTGTATGATGCCGAACAGGAAGCAAAATTATGGCAAGGATTGGGCATATTAACAACTAGTACTAGTGAGGTCAATAGTGAGAAGCCGCCGAGTGAGGTTAGCTCATTAAACATTTGGTTTTATGAAGTTAATACTATTTGTGTTGGTATGGATCCTTATGGGTGAAATTGGGTAAAACAATATCCTCCGTATTCGATTGTGCTTTCATTCATCTTATAGTATCTGATTAACCTGTTTACTCTACTTCTATGTGATGTAGTTTTATTACTGACAGGGTCAGTAATTGTTCTCTGCTTTATTTGTCAGTACGTTACTAGTATTAATATATTCCGGTTGGGATTCAGAACTGACTTGAAATCGTGAAACAATTTATCGTACTTTGCAAATCATTAGTAACATGTACTGATTGTGGTTACGATTTAATAGTTGTGAAACGGTGGCTAGAAAATTTAACCTTCAATCAATAAATCACAAGTTCAAACCTCGTAAATACTTCGGTCTGTGTAGCTAGTAATGTCAGCACTTTTATAATGTTTAGAATTATTTGAATTATAGCACGAACTAAGAGTCCCAGAAATAACGCAATTGAATTAAGAAGTCACAAGCACAAACGAATGTACTATATTTGGAATTCGTAATTATGCAATCAACATGTACAAAAGTATCATTAGTCAATCCAAACACCACATCCGCCACAGCTTAAATAGAAGTATAAGTGTTTGCAATCGGTTGTATGTCTTTTTGTTAAGTTCATCCTGAGTCTATCCGACATTGTACTGGATGAAAACTTTGTAGTATCTAGAATGTGCTCATTAGTATGGGAATTAACAAACGAAATCGGAACACACTAACCTGGAATTGTATACAATCAGCATGTCGGTTTTGTACCGAAATCATTAATATCTCGAATTGGAACCATATATTTTTTAACACTATCCTCCCTTACGAAATAATGTTCGATCTTTATATCCCCAAGTTATGAATAATGTGACTTCATTTAAAACATATTTCTCACATTGATTAGAGTATACATTGGAAGTGGATTTGCGATAAGGAAGAACAGCAGTTGGTATGAAATCATCCGAATTGTAATCAAAATTGAGCTCACTTAATACCCGTGCTTCGCATTGAACAGGTTTTTCACAAGGATCAAATGCATTATAAGGATAGGTAATATATGATATAACATAAGGATTTGATTCTTCTGAAATATTCTCATGAAATTCATTAAGAATGCCATTGCAGAGTAATGGATCATTACAAAAATTAGCATCTATCAAAACTATATCAGGTGTTCGATCATAATTATGTTTACTCAACATATTTTCTTCAGATTTGCAAGGAATTTCATCGGAAATATGTGAATCATTAGGAAAAACCATACCTGGTACAATAGCATGAGAATTCTGATAAATCGATTGGTGAGAAACTGTTGTTTCGCAAGAATTCTGAATTTGATTTAACTCTGAACTATTTTGTGACTCTACACTGTCTATTGCAATAGTTGATAAAGATAAATCATCATTATAAATACTCGACTCAGTAGAATCAGAATTACAAGACTTAATATTAGTTGCAATAACACGAACATTAGTATTACAGACTGACTAAATATATCCAATATCATCACATTTAAAGCACTTAGAATTACGAAATTTACATGAGTTAAAAGCATGGAACTTGCCACAGGACAAACATTGACCAAACTTGCGCCAATCTTCGTGAAACGCACTGCAACTCCTCAATGAATTATCTGCAAAACCTTGAGTATGCACTGGATTGAGATGACGTGATGTAGTAGAATTTTTGATGTCCTGATGAATCAGTTTAGGGAATTCCCCTTCTTTACTGTAATCAAAATTTGCATACTTGACATAGTCCAGTAGTAATTCCTTGAGAGTTGTATAAGGAAGCGAAATGGGCTTTTCCGGCATAACCAGAGTTCTTAACAAGCTGTATGCTTCTTTACCGATGAATGTGAGGAAATATGCCACAATATTAACATCCTCATCATCTTCCTTGGTCATGACCTAGATTTCGAACCTTTCGAAATAATCCTCAAAAGCTTCAGAAGTTGAATGAATGTCTAACTTTTCCATTGCAGGCTCAATCGCGACGTCAGTATAATGTTTAGAATTATTTAAATTATAGCACGAACTAAGAGTCCCAGAAATAACGCAATTGAATTAAGAAGTCACAAGCACAAACGAATGTCCTGTATTGGGAATTCGAAATTGTGCAATCAACATGTACAAAAGTATCATTAGTCAATTCAAACACCACAACTTTTCATTAGAAAGTGTGACTCATAGCTTAGTACTTAAACCTGTACCTGATAAATGAGCTGTATTTGTAGCCATTTGACCTACTCTTCTCTTAGGAGATATATGCTCATCAGTTAAAACATTCCTTGAAGAATAAATCGGTTACTCAATATATATATATATATCTTTTGGTTATCGTATTCTTCTCTTCAATATTTTTCTTGTTTTGATTTTATGTTTTTGTGAAATTGCATTCTAATTTTGTGTGATGCATTTGCTGGATCCTTAATACCTTGAAATAACGAAATCATTACTGTTTTTCTTTCTGGAAAGAATCCTTATTACCTAACAGCAGTACCCGGTCTCCACAGCAAGCGGGAGTTAAAACGAATTCGTCGAGTGAGTTCTGACACTTTTTAAAGTCGTAAGTCCGATTTTCTGTACAAGCGTAGGATTTTAACCTTCTTTTACCCTCGTCTACTGATAAGTTACTCATGTAATCATAAATGCTATTCCACGAAGGCTTATCTTAAAAGACAACTGAATCATGATGAGGTCTTGGTGACTGAGTAGTGTATGAAAGTTACAGTTACCTGAATTGAAATCACCACGTACGATTCAAAAATAACCAATGAGGACAGTGACATCAAATCCAGTGCACTAGTCAGCAAAAATGGATATTTTAGAAGAAGTGCATTAAGGATTCATATATACATCGAATCGAATTATAAACATCAGGTGGTTGATGTAATCATTTAAAAACCTAAAATGCATATAGTTAAACTCACCTCAGATCATATTTACGAGCGCAGCAACACTAACACTGCACTTTGTATTTTTCAGGATTGAAATTCAGACGGTAAATCTTGAAAGTATGTAGTAATGCCAAATTATCATCATAGAAATCATGTAACCAAGATCCTTGAATTATATTCACATAGCAGTTACAGTACATAGTTATGCATATAAAGATTGGAGATAATTCACTCCTAACAGTTGTTTGCTATCAAAAGCTATTTGAGATGCAGACATTCATTCCTTTTAGTGTATGTCTCCAGCCACTAGGAACCTTCTTGAAGTTTAAGTATTTAGCATGTTAGTTAGTTGTGTTGTATCTCTTCTAGAGCTACTGCAGGTCTCAATCCCCGGTAAAGGATGAGGGTTGGGCATGGGGTCAGCATCACCATCCCGTAGAAAACAACCTTGCTATAAACAAGCTAACCAGAATAAACAAATTAAATCATTTAAACTCTGCCCTCAGAGTTGAAGGAAGAATTATGATGCCTCATGGTGAAAACAGATATTTCTCAGTAGTCACAAGGTCGATAGCTTTTCTAACAACCAGAGCAACAATTAGTATAGGTACATGGAATGTCCGGACAATGTGAGAGACCGGGAGGATTAACCAAATATCTGGGGAAATGAGGAGATACGAGTTGAAGGTGTTCGAAATCGGTGAAACCCGTTGGACAGAACCAGGCTGGGCAGAAAATGATAGGTTCAGGAGAGATGCTACTGTGTCGTGGTCACGAAGAAGAAAATGCTTCGCACACTCGGGGAGTTGCCTTGATGCTGTCCAAAGAAGCATGTAAAGCACTTATAGGATGAGAATCTCGTAGACCCAGGATCATCAAAACATCTTTCAAAACAAATGAGGGAATCACAATGAATGTTATCCAACGTTATGCACCCACCAATGATAGCAACGACAACGATAAAGATCAGTTTTACGAGAGGCTGTAATCTCATAGCGAAGTGCTCATGAAAAGGAGCATTGAAGCAGACAATCAGAAATACATGGAAGAGCTGCAACAGAAGAAAATATCAGACAACTATATGATACAATGAAAAAACCGACAGGGAAATATAGTAAACGAGAGAGACCAGTCTAGGACAAGGAATGAAAGCCAATCACTGAAACTGAAGAACGGATGAATAGATGGGTAGAACACTTTGAGGAGTTCTTGAATCGGCTGGTTCCATTAAATCCACCAGACATCGAAGCAGCGCCTACAGACCTTCCTGTAGATGTCACCCCACCAACGGTCGAGGAAATCGGGATAGCCATCGGACAGATGAATAGTGGGGAAGTAGCGATACCTGACAATATGCCAGTTGAAGCACTGAAGTCAGACATAGAAGCAACTGCAAACATGTTACAAGTCCTATACATGAAGACTTGGAAGGAGGAGATACCAAAGAAAGATCTTAGCAAATGTGGAAACTACAGATGTATCACACTATTATGTGTACCATGAAAAGTTTTCTAAAGAGTATTGCTGAACTGGATGAAAGATTCAGTGGACAGCGCACTTCGAGATCAACAGACCGAATTCCTTAAGGATAGGTTTTGCACAGACCGAATCATGACACTATGGATCATTGTTGAACAATCAACTAAATGAAACTCGTAACTGTACATCAGATTCCTTGACTATGAGAAGGTGTTTGACAACGTGGAAAGGAGAACCTTATGGAAAATCGTCAACATCATAAGGGATTCATACGACGGACTACAGTGCAAAGTGGTGCGTGAGAGATAGCTGATAGACGCATTCCGAGTAAGGACCGGAGTCAGACAAGAGCGTTCACTCTTCCTCTTTCTTCTGGTGGTTGATTGGATTATGAAGACTTTGACATCTGTGGGTAAGAACGGAATACAATGGACAGCTTGAACAGAAGTAGACAATTCGGACTTCTCGAAAGACTCAACACTTCTATCCCATACATACGAGCAAATGCAGGTCAAGATAACCATTGTGGAAGAGGCCTCTCCATCAGTAAGCCTCAACACACAAGGGAAGAAGCACGATCCTTAAATACAATATAGAAAACAACAACCCAATCACACTTGATGAAGATGTTCTGGAAGAGGTAGAAACCCTTAGATATCTGGACAGCATCATCGATGTACAAGGAGGATCTGATGCAGACCTAAAATCAAGGATTGGCAACACAGCTGTCAGCCAACATCAAAATCAGAATCTTCAATGCGAACGTGAAGACACTACTACTGTACTGGGCTGAATCTTGTAGAACTATCTCCACCATCATCAAAAATTCGCAAGTATTTATAAATAATTGTCTACACGAGATACTGAATGACCGTTGGCCGGATACCATCAGCAACAGTCTACTGTTGAAGAGAACAAACCAGCTGAAGAGAAAATTAAGTAAAGGCGACGGGGTTGGATAGGACATACATTGTGGAAATCATCAGACTGCATGGCGAGATAGGCGTTAACTTTGGATCTCAAAGGGAAACGGAAAAGAGGAAGATCAAAGAACACACTAAGTTGAGAATTGGAAGCAGACATTAATAGAATAGATAGCAGTTTGAAACAACTGGAATGGATTGCCTAGGGTAGAGTTCGATGAAGAATGCTTATGGGTGGCTGGTTTTCCTCCACGAAGGGTAACAGGTTTAAGTAAAAATTAGGTGTTGGTAAGTGATACGGTTGTCTCACACAATTGGTTTTTAAAGCAAACACAGTAGGCATGCAATTTGTTGAAATATTTAAGCAACTTACCAACTAAGTAGCTCTACTTTGCAAGCGAAACATTGAGTTGTTAGTCGTCAGTAAAAAGGCCATTATTTCCGTTAAAATAATGATTTACATTTGTCAGGCGTTAAATTACACCTATTTTGATTTTTGTCTGTAGGCTGAACGCAAAAGCAAACTGTCAAACTGGTTTGATCTTCCGAGACCTGATGTCACTGAAGAAGATCGTGATGACTTAGAATTAATTAGATTACGTCGCGCTATTTCATCAGATACACACGTGAGAAGATCGGATGGGAAGTCTGCTTACTTCCAGGTAAATCATTGTGGATTTATGCTATTTCGGTATGATATTTATCTATTTTTAGCTTCTTATTGTTGCGATATTTTTATACACTCAAGTCATATTTTTTAATAGTTATAAAAATTTAAGCAGTTGTTCCTTCAAGGTGTTGTTGTATCAACCTTGTATAAATTAGTGTGTTGGTAATCTTTTATTTCTGGATTAGAGTTATATAAATCTACCGTTAAATTAACAGGCATATAAAGATTTCAAAAGAAACATCAATAAATAAATCCCTTACTATTCAACATGTACGTAAAGATGTACAATATAATATTATAAACATTCTGTTTTCGACTATCATTTTATTTTTTATTTATTTCAACACATAGATAATGGTACAAAGAGGCACCAAATACATATGCGCCACACAAATCTCATCCGATATGTGTGAGGGCTGTGATACTGCCCGGGTGCCCAAACCGAAGCAGGTGGTTATCTTAGGGGGCCACACCCCGAGCCTTCAACCCAAAGGTCTGATCCACAAGGCAGTGGAGCATCGTAAGGAGATGCAGTCCCATGGAAGCCGGTGACCAACAATTGGTTCATTCGCCATTTGTTCCCGCAGGATACTGGAGCCCATGTGCACCATTGTTTTGGAATCCGGTTAAAGCGCCGGACATTCGCTTTTCGTCCTCTCATTTTCGTAAACAACACCCCCGCCACGAGAAGGCAGTGAGTAGGACTTCCCTGGCAGAGACTATCAGGTTCTTGGTCTAAATCTCTCTCTCTATCTACTTGGGTTATGGCAGATAAGCAACAGCTCTAGGCTTCACACATAACTCCCAAACCACAATCCTTTATTTGGTTAATGAGTTTTGATACATATTTATTTAATTTCCTTCCGTTTGTAGGCAGTAGTTGACTCATTTCAAATCATTTCGTCTGCTATCTGTTTTAAAAAATTTGTGTTGAAACTTCCTATATCATTAGAAAATCTTTTTTCCAGACATTTGAACTTATTAATTTTTAATTTTTCGTTACTATCTCGTTTTCTATATAATTTATTCATGAGGATTACTAACTCTGACCTCAAAGTTTTGTTTCCGTGTTAGAATACCGTGTGTGTTTTCACATAAAACACCGTTTTGTTAATGCTAAGTAAATGACAACTTTTTCTAGAGTTATTTACATTTCGCGTATTGTTGGGTGTAGGATTTAGATAACATGATTAAATCCACCTCTACATATTTACTGTTATCTGTCTGTGTATATAGTTTTTCCTTCTGTGATATCTTATTATTTTTATAATGCTTGACTGATTAAATTTCATGCCGATTTAGTTGAACTAGTTACTAACTATTATCTTAATTACCTTGTAAGAAACAAATCACGTTATCTTAACTGTCTTCTCTCCCTTTAATAATTTGTTTTAGAGAGGTGTAGTTGTAGATGATCCTGGAAGCTTCTACGATAGACTGCCGCGAAAACAAAGAGGGAAAACACTTGTAGATGAGCTTCTAGCTAATGCTGAAATTATGAAGTAAGTTTAGTTTGCTTTTGTGTTTGTTGTCGAATATTTGATTGATAGTGTATTGCTTTATCTAAGGAAGTTACTTCTGAATAACTCAGAAAATATTTCGTAATCATTTACACAACTTACCTCTTAGTACCACAAAATGTATATCTCATTATTGACTTACTTACTTGCGCCTGTTACTCCGAATAGAGCATAGGCCGCCGACCAGCATTCTCCTACCCACTCTGTCCTGAGCCTTCTTTTCTAGTTCTATCCAATTCTTGATCATTTTTCTCATGTCTATTTCCATTTCCCGGCGTAATGTGTTCTTTGGTCTTCCTCTTTTCCTTTGGCCTTGAGGATTCCAAGTGAGGGCTTACCTTGTGACACAGTTGGGTGCTTTCCTTAATGTGTGTCTTATCCACTTCCAGCGCTTCTTCCTAATTTCCTCCTCCGCCGGAATCTGGTTTGTTCTCTCCCACAATAGGTTGTTGCTGATAGTGTCTGGTCAACGGATCCGAAGTATTTTGCGTAGACAGCTGTTAATCAACACTTGTATCTTCTGGATCATGGCTTCCGTAGTTCTCCAGTTTTCCGCCCCAGTAGACAATAGAACTGTTTTGACATTTGTATTGAAAATTTTGCCTTTGGTGTTGGTTGACAGTTGTTTCGAGTTCCAGATATTCTTCAATTGTAGATATGCTGCTCTTGACTTATCGACCCGTGCCTTCACATCTGCATCAGATCCACCGTGTTCATCAATGATGCTACCCAGATATGTAAAGGTTTTTACATCCTCCAAAGCTTCTCTGTCGAGTGTGATTCTATTGGTGCATGCTGTGTTGTGTCGGAGAATCTTGCTTTTCCCTTTGTGTATGTTGAGACCTACTGCTGCAGCACTGGTCTTCTCCTGCATTTGTTGTTATGTGTGCGATAGAAGAGCCAGATCATCTGCGAGGTCTAGGTCGGCCAGCTGCATCCTAGCTATCCACTGTATCCTATGCTTCCCCTCAGACGTTGACGTCTTCATGATCCAGTCGATCGCCAGGAGAAAGGGAAAGGGTGAGAGTGAGCAACCTTGTTTGACACCGGACCAATAAAGACTCTAGACTGTTCGTACTTGTTTCATGCGTCTTTGGTCCGATCGATAATTCATTGTTCTCTAATTGGCGGTATCATTACGTCATACATTAATATGATTCAGGGCACAAGTTTTAACGCAGAACATGAATCTCAGCCTCCGCGATATTAATCATGTATTTCAAACATACTGGGTTTATATATCAGCCAACCAGACCAAATCGTACCATAAAATAGAAAATAAAATTTGTACAAGATTCAGCCATATATGGTTGTGAATGTGGGACATTGTAATTGATAGACAGGGCATAAATCAAGAATGGTAAATCGTATAATAATAGTTTATAGGTCAAAATAAAGTTTATGATAAGAGGAACACGAATATGAGTAGTTTAGTTACCTGACAATTATACGATAAAAATATATGTATAGTATTTGTCCAGAAATAAACTCCAACAATTAACATTCATTATTTTCGTCGGGATATATCAGTTGAAGTGTATGGGGAATGATTCTAGGTTTTTAAATTTGGTTACGAATCCTTATAAATACAAAGAGAGCATACTTCTTTACATTCATTACTTTGATTCGTAGTTTAGGAGTAAAGATATTTTTCTTAACCTACCAGGAATAATTTCACGATACATAGTGATCTTTCTGGTGGTAGTTTCGTTGGAGAGGAACTCTTGGAAAATACGTTTGATGCGAGTTTTGCTACTCTTTATATTTAGTAACTGTTGATTATTTTCGAGTTTCAAAACAATTTTATATCATCAGTAGGCTTACCTGGGACCTTAGAGAGTGAAGTAGTCGATTGTTTCTTACGTTTCATCTCTTCGGTCAGTTAATGCCATCATGTTTTACGTACCATCGATATAAGTTCTTGACACTGGTAAATCACCATTACTACACCTGTACTGTCAAGTTATCCATCTAGTCACAAGTACGATTTTAACTCATCACTGTTACGGTTGAATACCCGAAGCCTTTGATGGTATATTCTTAAATAAATAATTTAAGGAGTATGCATGAGGTTATACGGAATACAGTAGATGATAATGCATAATAATTAAGATGCTTCAGTTAAATTCTACATATACTTATTATTCTGTTCGACCATCACTAAAAATGAAAAGCAACAATGGCTCTTACGTAAGCTACCAAAATATGCTGAGGTGTGACTAACTATTAACTATTTTTAAGCATTTAGATATCTCCGTTTACAAACCGATAATGCGTCGTTTACTGCCCGAAAACTATTGCAAAGAGTGCGTTTCTTGCATCTTCTTGATTCTCATTGTTTTTATTCGGGGTACATGACTCAATATTTCTAGTCATATTAGTTAGTGAAGGGTAATGTTTGCCTATTCATTGTCACAATTTTTCTAGGGCTCAACGGAAACGATATGCCAAGATTGCACGTGCTATGGCTGAAAAACGGGCTGCTATCAAAAGAAAAGAGCAACAACAAATGAAGCGCTTAAAAACTGGTCGTAAAAAACAACAAGCAACAGTTGTTGTTCGTGAATGATTCACCTGTGATTAAGCCTACAGTTTGTACATATATTTGTGGATTAAATCGCATTCAATTGTATCTTTCCGTGTTTTTAGAATCAGGGTATTCCAGAACATCTTCAGTTACAATTATTCTCGTACACAAGAGTACTGAAAGTACTGATTATATCTGTCGTGAGCCTAATTTGACTTCAAATTTTACAGTATGCTGAAGAATAATGTATAGTCTCACGTACATCAAAACAAGACTCACATTTATTGTACGAGGGTGAGCCTAAATATCTAGCATTTTGAATATAAAACTGCGTAATTGATAATTCGAAGTAGGAATAAATAAGCGTCCATCAATTAGAAAAATTGATAACTATGTTTTCAGAGTCACTCCATTTTCATGGTCTTCTATGTACTTGAATTCACTGAAACATTCGATTACATAAGAGCGATTCATATACCTAGTCAATTGCCTAAGGACATTTTGGAGACTAAGAAGACAGATTATCCTGTATATATCTTATGACCATTCTACATCTGTAAGTTATGGTAATAATAATAATAATTAGTATCTAATGAACTATTGTTCATTAGATACTAATTTCATTTGCACACGGCTGTCATTTTAGTTGCAAGTTAGGTAATGAGAATGAAATATCTTGTTTATGAGCAAAAGCTATTTATGACAATATTTTGAAGACTATCCTTTCTAGTCGAATCAGACTCAAGCAATTTAGATGCTATCGGCAATAATGTGCACTAAACTATCTTTGCCGAATGCATTACGTCCTTGATGTCATGTGATAGGTAGTAAGCTCAAAGTGCCGTACTGTTGATGACATGTCTTTTGATAGAGATGGTTCAGTAATGTCAATTCGAGGAATGTTAAGGCTTGGTTTTTCGGTTGGTGAAAAGTATAGATAAATAACAATTCTATTCATAAGATACGGTGAAACTGTTGATGAGGGTTCTGTGGACTCCTTAATTTAAATAAACATTTCCAACGACCTGACCAACACCAATTTATCTAAACATAATAGATGCGAAAAGGGTTTCATAAACTTCAAGCAAGAATATGTTTTCTTGTTTAAAATTGTGAAGTTGTCCCGTTTTATCCGAGTTATCAGCGGGTAATCTAGCACTAATCGTACTACCGACTACAGTGATCATCATCTTGAGTTAGGAATGGTCGATATAATGTTTCAACTGACGTAGTAATTTGAAAGTGTTATCTACAGTATTTTATTTCTTTGTGCGATTGATATAAGATCAGCTATGAATTGCATACATGGATTGTTTCCTATTTAGGTTTTTGCATAGGATTTAGGCAAAAACTAAATACATACTGCTGACTCTTCATTTAATATGCGTGATATGTCACGTGACAGCGTATTCATCCGTATGAAGACTATTCACTTATGTTGATTAGCATGCTGTGTTGTATTACCTAATCTAAAGCAAGTGTGTATTCAATTATTACCTACAGCGTAAGTGTATGGTGCTCCTTAAATCTCCCATTTGTATGTGCTCATATTAAATGTATTATCACTGTTATTCGCGTCTGTCTTGGAAGAGGGAGGAATCAAAGTCAATCGGATTTGATCTACTTAAAAATTGGAAATGCATTTACTGAGCTTTGTTTTAAGAGACATCTGGTCAGTTATTCGGTTTGTTTTAAATGCATGATCGGATTCGTCCATTCACCCTACTACTTGTGAGAATATTTTGTACCTAAAGTAGTTTCTTCATATCATAAAAAACTAAAATTCATCACCAAGCATTTTGACGAGACCCTATCCCGAAGCCTCCAATCTGCTTGGGTTCAATAAAAAGGGAAGCGTTTCCTAAGTCCTCGCATAGCACATACACTACTTTCTAATGGCGTTCTTTATTTTTATCTTTCGGGTGGCATTGGTGATCCGTTTAACTGTGAATGACAAAAAACTCGTTTAACAATTCGAAAGAGCAATTGTTACACCGTTGTTATGGATACTTGTTTCTACAGTAAATAATGGCAAATATATATGCAGTTTTTCGAGAAAATAATAAGGAGCAAAATTAAAGTAAATAGTTCTCTGTCATTGAAAAAGGTGAAAATGAGCAGTGTTAAAATAAGTGAATGAAACCACACAATATAAAATAGCCTTGTGTTAAAATATTGACAATCAGTAGTTAACAGCTCTTCTCTTCTTCGTACAGATTTTTAATAGTATTTGCAAAATGTTTTCGTAGATTTATCCTTGCAAGTTTCATCGTTGGAGTTAACCATCCATTGTCTACTGTGAACGGTTCTGGTGTTAAGTAGATATTACGGGCCTGTATTTAAGGGTAAAACATTTAAGAATTATATATATATATATATATATATATATATATATATATATATATATATATATATATATATATATATATATATAATTACATTTTTCAGCACCAACATCACTTGTTTTGATTGGCGATTACGTCACTTTAAAAAAAGCTTAATGGTTGACAGTATCATTCAGAAACTGATAATTGGCGTTTAAATGTGCGACTGAAGCTCACTGTTTATGAAAAAATAAGACGAAAATCATCTAACTTTCCCAGCATTAGTTTGCATGAAAACCATACCCGATTCTTTCATCTTGTAGTCGTCTTTGACGTTAAGTCTTATGTCCCGACCGTTGCTGCTATCTTGACGTGATTGTCGGGCTGTACCGCCTGGAACATTCGTTCTTTCAGGTCCTAGCGTGTCAAGCAGATCAGTTGAAGAACGGCTAGGTTAAAAGCAGTAAACTCAAGGTCATAGGTCGAAGTCGTACTGCTGACTGTACAGAGATGTGACGTCTGTAAGGTGTTTCCCTCGGACAACCAACACAACAGCGATGCTACCTTCTCACAAAGGAAGGGTGTGGTTAGAAAAGGTTAACCCTAAAAATGCACAACTCGTCTTATCCCATGAATTTCCATCCTCGACGGTAAAGTCTTAACAGATACGGAGTTAACACGAGAACTACCTACACAAAGGTCGTGTGTGGCCTGCCTCAAGCAGTTGTCCCTTGGGAATTGCAGTCACGTCCTCAGGCCACAAAGACCAACTCTAACTCCTTTTCCTTTTCGAGTACCTCTATAAGGACTTTTCCACGAAGTGGGCGACCGGGAAGTGATAGATGCTCTAGTACCTCTAACAGCATTCAAACCCACTGTATTCATAATCAATTTCCCTACTCAGCTCCTATTATTCTTCCTGCCTTGACTATCAACTCTAGATTTCCTTCAACTTCCCCCCTCAACTGCTATCATGAGCAGCGATTCTAGTGCGTGAAACGCTGTCCCGAGTCAACTGAAATCTCACTCCAAACAACACATTGGAGCCTCCAACGTACGTATCCTGTGTGGCCCCCGAACGCCCTGGTATGGCCGAGAGTGGAGTGGACCCGGCCTCCCTCTCGAAATACTCTCACACGGCCACGCGTATACAGCCTCTGCCAGGGAAGTCCTACTCATTGCCTTCTCGTGGCGGGGGTGTTGTTTACGAAGTTGAGAGGACGACAAGCGAATGTCCAACGCTTTAACTAGATCTCAAACCAATGGTGCACATGGGCTCCAGTATCCTACGAGAACAAATGGCGTATGAACCAATCGTTGATCACTGGCTACCATGGGACTGCATCTCTTCACGATGCTTCACTGCCCTGTTGGTCAGACCTTTAGGTCAAAGGCTCGGGGTGTGGCCCCCTAAGAAAACCACATGCTTCGGTTTGGGCACCCGGGCAGTATCACAGCCCACACAAGTGTGATGAAATGTCGATATTTATGGAAAATACTTGTCTTGCTTCGATTAACAATCAAACGATTCACATTATTATTAGTATTATTGGCATTATTATTACTATTATTGTAGTGAACAAGAACACGGGTGGGGACAATCGAATGTATTTAGCTCGAAAATTACAGACTATCTCAACAAAATCTGAATACCATAAAGTCAATCGTCAATTTGCAAATTATCAATACATCATATCAAACTGTACTGTTCAAGCTGCAAACACTAATCCATTGTCTCCCATTCCATTGTTCATAAGTTTTCTTACAAATTCCATTATGTTCTTGCTCCACCTTTCTTGGTCTTCGCCATCTTTTGCTGCCGAGCATTACGTTCTTTTAACGCACGTTATATACTACTTATGTCAATATAAGTAGCTCACACCACACTCGTCCCCCCCTTTAAAACAGTCGTTCTTGTGGTGGTTCGTGCTCGCCGTGCAACATTCTCCGTCTCTGCAGCCTGTGCCACGCTCTCCGTCAAAATGTCGAGTCTGCGGGACGCTGACTTCCGTAGCTCCGTCGACCTGCCGGGAAAGCAACAACCGACATCCACCCGGCACCTGGGACGCTTGACACCCGTACTCCACCGGCCTGCTGAGCCATCTACATTCGATGTCCGCCCAGCAGCCGCGCGTCCCACCGCTCCTCTCCGCCGACAGCATCCACTACAGCCAACGCCGCCCCGCCAGAACACCCCACCAGACGCCACCTCTCCGCACCAGACTGCTCCAACTGGCACCTCAGCCCCAGGCCCGCAACGGCGTCCGCAGAACAGCACCCTCCTCCTCTCCCGGTTGGCAGCGACACCAAATGTAGTGAACAAGAACACGGGTGGGGACAATCGAATGTATTTAGCTCGAAAATTACAGACTATCTCAACAAAATCTGAATACCATAAAGTCAATCGTCAATTTGCAAATTATCAATACATCATATCAAACTGTACTGTTCAAGCTGCAAACACTAATCCATTGTCTCCCATTCCATTGTTCATAAGTTTTCTTACAAATTCCATTATGTTCTTGCTCCACCTTTCTTGGTCTTCGCCATCTTTTGCTGCCGAGCATTACGTTCTTTTAACGCACGTTATATACTACTTATGTCAATATAAGTAGCTCACACCACATTATTATTATTATTTACTACTTCATTTATTCACTCTCTTTCATCCCCACTTTATGTATCCTTATTTTTCGACTTCTACAGCAGCTCGCCTGTGGTCGAAACTCGGTTCTATCTACACATTCTCGAGTAATTGACTGGTTGAAAATTGAATTCTACCACCAAATATAAATACTGAAGCAGTTTTTCTGAAACCACGTGTACCATTCAAACTAGCTGCCTTCAACGTTCGCACACTTATGCAGGTCGGACAACAGATAAGGCTGACTATGTCTTTGGAATGTCTTAATATTGATGCCAGCTGTCTATCCGAGACCCGTACTCAAGACTCTGGTGAAGTACTACAAATTCGATCTCCATCTGTCGCTTCTAAAATCTTGTTTTACGTGCGCTTATCTGGGGACCCTATTGCATCTTCGTCTGGTCTTACTGGCGTTGGTGTCACACTAAGCGCTAGAGCTGAGGCAGCACTAATCGATTGGATCCCCATTAACAGTCGGTTATGTGCTGTTAGATTAGAAAGTTCCATCAAATTGAGAAGAAATCAGCGTGAGAAACGATGTCTTTTCGTCATCTTCGCCTATGCCTCGACAGACTGCAGCAGGGATGCAATCAGAGATGAATTCTACCACCAGTTAACTGTTCTCCAGAAAGTGCGTTCGACAGATATTGTAGTGCTAGCCGGAGACTTGAATGCTCAGGCACAGAAAAGAGTCGTTTAGGTGGCCGATGAGGACTCGTTGGTCGCAGGTCAGATAACCGGGACCGTCTACTGCAACTGTGCACAGACCACAACCTGTTTCTTGCTATCACTAACTTCCGGCTCAGTCATCGCCTATGTGCTACCTGGAGTCCTCCCTTTACATCCCAATCCTGGACTCAGATTGATCACATCGCGACTAGCTACCACTGGCGTGGTTGTGTACAAGACTGCCGCTCCTTTTCGAGTACCAATCTGGACTCTGACCATGCCTTGGTCTGTGCCAATCTTACCTTGCTTTTCAGTGGCCAACGAAGTGACCGTCACCAACGGATTGATTGGTTGCAACTTCTGTTGCAAGTAAGTATCAAACCGAGCTAGCTACCATTCCCCTGAAAAGTATAGATGAGCATTGGTTGCAGCTGCATGATGCCATGAAAATGGCTAGTAAAGCCGCTTGCGAAACGTCCCGCTTATAAGCACGACTCCCTGGCTGGGGTCCGAGAGATGGTGCCACACAGTGGTTTGGAATGTGATCGGACATGACTCAGAATAGAAGCCAGTGGCGATCCTGCTGTGACTTTTTACTTTCTTCATAAAAAATGGTTGTATCTTCCTTCACTAGAAGATTTATTCTGATTGTACCTTTCCGTTTCCCCTATTATTATAATTAATATTATTATTATTAGCATTACTATTACACTATCTTACACTAATCTGTTCGTTATTATTTTTTTTACGCTCTTTACTTTTTATCTCTTCGAATTCTCATTGTTTTGTGTAGCGCATATATGTTTGGTGCCCTCTTGTACCAATATTTATGTGTTCAAATAAATAATAAATAAATCCTGTGTGAAATCGGTCGACAAGCCTCCTTGACTAAGACCCTAAAATCTCGTACGATTGATGTGTTCTGTCTTCGAAACACGCATACAAGATCCTAGTGTGGTCATTTACTTGACTTCATCTAGCCAAACTGGGGAGCTGATGAGACACATCCTCCGTTTGTCTGGCGATCTGATGGCAAGTTCTTGTGGACTGACGGGGGTTGACATAGGACCAAGTATGATGGAAGAACAACATTTAGAATGGATCACCATTAACAGTTGCTTATGTGCTGGTCGTATTAATGTTCCCATAAGAACTCGTCATTCCTGCCTACGCGCCCATTGACTGCACCACGGATGAAGTGAAGAATGGTTGCTACAAAAAGCTTTTTGAACTTCTCCAAAAAGCTAAACACTTCAGAAAGTACACGTAGCAGGTGACTTTAATATCCAAGTAGGTAGCTTAAACCAAGTAGAAAGACATTTAGGTGGGTATTTTTTATTCCGATTTAGCGAAAAAAATAATGGTAACCGTCTGTTGCAACTGTGCCCAGACAATTTTTTACTTCTAACGAGCACTAATTTAAAGCATAAGGAGAGACATAATCTAGCATGGCAACTCCCTGCACCGAACTAACGACGGACTCAAATTGACGACATTTTCATCAGTTGTCTTTAGAGAGGCTCAGTGGGAGTGTATCTGTGGAAACAGCAGCGACATCTGTTGCATTGATAGACTCTCCTGAACGTATTACATCACGCTCCGAACACAATGAAGAGCGAAAACAAAACAGGTCTAAATTTATCAAAAGTCTAAGGAGCGATCGCAAACAGTGGTGGACGACGAAAACAAAACAGATGGAAAAGGCAACGGCTATAGGTAACATAAGACAGCTTTTCAGACTAATTAAAGAAACCGCAATTAAGAATTCAAGTGTGAGATAATTTCGGAAAAAGTCGGCATTCTTATTTGTTCTCAGTCCAGACGTTTGGGACGATGAGTGGAGGACTTTAAACAGCAGTTCAGCTGCTCTACAGCTAACCACCATATCCAAATAGCCGGAATGTAACATTGAAGTAGGCCTGCGACTCTAGTTGAAGTTCATAAAGCTATAGCTGATCTGAAACAAGGAAGAGCAAATGGATCAACTCCATAGATCTTTAAGGATGGCGATCTAGAATAAGCGATTAGGTTGACTAATATTTTAGCTAAAATCTGGGAGTTGGACGTAATTTCATCTGATTGGTCGCAATCACTGATCGTCGCAGTATATAAGAAAGCATCAAAATCATTCTTTGATTACCATATGGGATTTAGTTTGATTAACATAGCATCTAAAATACTAGCCTCAATAGTTATCGGGCGTCTAACAAAGGCCCGCAAACTGCAAACACGAGAAAATCAGGCTGGCTTCAGACCTAGTCACAGCTGCATCGACCTTATATTCACTATTCGTCAGATCTTAGAACACAGACTTGCTTATCGGAGTCGGCAATCGTGATCTTTCTTGGCTTAAAAGCAGCATTCCACTCGGTAGACCGAGGGGTTCTGTCTCAGTGTCCGTCACTGAGAGGTGTAACTCAGAAGTACATGAACCTTGTGAAGGCTCTTTACCCGAACACCACCAGTCGAGTCAGAGCGAAAGCGGAATGTTATCTGATTTCGCATCCTCAAGTGGTGTCTGAAAACGATGTCCATTATTTCCATTTCTATTCGACTTCATTGTAGGCCTACTTCTGGAAATAACATTCTCGTCGACTGAATTTTCGGGAATTGATCTCCCACCAAGAGGCCATCAGGATGTTTGAGGTGCGTTTCTTCTCCTCTAAATGCAGATTGCTACTTCAGGACGGACTTGCGTCAACATTTAAACTCAGGATGTGAAGTGGTCGAACTTGCCGACAGCTTCACTTGTGTTGGAAATCTGGTCAGCCACAATGGGTTGGTGTCTGAAGAAATCTCTGCACGGATTCAAAAAGCTCATTTGGCTTTTGCCAACTTACGTCACCTATAGCGAAGGCGAGTTTTCCGTCTATCAAATAAGAGACGAGCATACGGTACAGCAGTTTGTTCTGTTTTACATCAAGCCTGCGAAACGTGGTCATTAAGAGTAGAGGATACTCATAAGTTACTAGTATTTGATCACAGATGTCTTAGAAATATTGTTCGCATCTGCTGGGATCACTGGGTAAGTAATATTGAGGTTAGACACATGGTATTAGGGAATGATGGTAAATCAATTGATGAGGTCGTGAATGTACATTATCTGAGATGGTTGGGCCGCGTATTACGCATGGAAAACTACCGATTACCACGGTGCGCAATGCTGACTAGTGTTGGAGACAGATGGAAGAAAGTTAGGGACGGCCAAACCAAAACGTGGCATCAGTACATAATTCACTAGATTTCGGTGTGAGCCAATGTTGATAGATATAGACTACTTGGTCGGGGTCCGCGTGACTATCTTAACTGGGTGACACGGCTAAAAATCGGCCACAATGGCGTAGGTGTGTACACTATTTCTCTTCACTTAGACTGCGAGATTAAAACTGCTTTACATCCTTCTTTCTTCCTGTGCTATACCCTTATGCACAGTCTTTCTTTTATATATTACTACCATTGAAGTAAATTTCTATGAATTTATTGTGCTAATGAGCTATGGCAACTTGGACCGATGCATACATGTGCCTGGTTCTACGTTATAGCTGACTGATCCAGCCTTTTATGTATCTCCTAATAATCACTGATTAGCAAATAAAACATCAATGTCAGCATTTACTTGCATCTCTCTCTTATAGTCTTGATAATGACATTATCATTATTTTTTACATACGTTTGATTTAAAATGTCAATTGACGGCAAAGTTAGCGCTTACACAAACAATATATCACAATATGTATATTGGTAGTGTCTGGTGACCATATATAATTCCGATTATTGCAGATATATGAGATATTTTCAAATATTTTTGTTGTCAATCATAAGAATATGTATTGGAATGATCGTAATATTTTAACACGTTATCTCTACTGCTGTTATGATCGAGTACATAGTAAGGTCGACCAATATACTTTATTACACAATAACAGAGTTCTTTCATCAAATGTGAAAACCATAAGTTCAATACTTCATTTGTAAATCCTCCATCACTTGTCTCAAACTTCATTGTTCCTTCATCGCCATAACAATTACTCTCCGTTCCCGTTCTTTTCGATTCGATCTTCCCAACTTTCCGATGCCAGGCATCCCACTTTCGATTGGTGTCAGATATTACTTAAGTCGACATAAGCAGCATACACCGCACTACTAACATTCTCTTTTCTGTAAATAGAATATTCAATTATTTCCTAAAACATTTTATGCCACTGCATATTACCTAGATCGTTGTTTTACATAGATTAAAAAATTCCAGGTAAAGTAACAAGCGTATTATACTGTCAGCAACATTTCCTCTGTCCATGTCTGTAGAATTTTAAAAAGAAGAATCTATTATTATAAACTAGACTAACCAGTTCAAATCCTTTTAAACCTTTTTCTCTAGCGATTGAGTTCATTCTCTCCAAAATAAATTCACGTATTTCTTTACTGGTGCATAATTCAGCATCGGTTATTTCCTCCAGTAATTCTCCATCCTTCATGTTCTCACACTTTTTTTCAATAGGTGATGAAATTGTCTTTGCTAATTTGCTAATAATGTCTACTGCTTCCTTGCGTAATCTTCTAAAGTTTGGTTTAACCACTGCTACTGCATAAGGTTTAAGCGAATGACCTTCAACGTACACATATTGTATTAGATTACAGAATAAGTAGGTTTGCTCTACTTTCTCTGGCGCTACATATTCTCCTTGTGATAATTTAAATAGATTTTTCGTTCGATCCACAATTTTTAATGCTCCATTCTATGAGAAATAGGAAATAAATGTACAATAAACAAGGTACAGAAATTGTGTTAGGATTCTGAAAATGAAGATTTAAGAGGTATTATATAGAAAGAATCAGTTGGGAATAAATAATGGGTTGATATATTTGAATACAATCTTGACGTTTTACTAATTGATTAGTAAACATTTTCAAACAGTAGATAATTTCTATCTAGAAAGATACCACTTATCCTATTGCTATTTAGAAACTGAGAAAATATCATGTTTAGTACAACACTGAATATCTCAGCCTAGATTCCGTACTAAGCGTTGGTGAAGAGTTCCATAAAAATACTGGAAAACTATATATTGTTTTTCAATCTGCTGCCAATCATTTCCCTAGAATGTTATGTTAAAATAATATGAACAGTTTATTCTTACACTAAATGAATGACTTCATAGTTTTCACCATAAACCTAACAAAAAATATACGGATCCTTATATTCATCTAAAAAATTATTAGTTAAAATAATTAGTCGACTATCTAATACCTATAAAATAAATTTTACCTTACATTATTGGTACCGAAGCAGATCGAATAAATATTGCTTAAATTGGATGAACCATGTATATGTAAGTACAAAAACCCCGTTATTCATGTCGTCAGGTTTTCCAATTCTTTAATTAGTTTTCATAGCTGGTGAATATTATGTGTTTAGATAATGGAGAATATTTGTACTCAGGATGAGGATATTGGAGAAGTTGAACTCTCTTAGCTTAGAGAACTCAATAACTTCGATAAGTTTTCAAGATACGCTTGCTGTTTGTAATGATAGTTATCATTATTACTGATGGATAAATACATGAATTTTATATGAAGGTATAAAACAAAAGAAATTCAGTTGCAATTAGTTAATGTTCTTTAAACTAACCATATTTATCACAGTTAGGCTGTGATAATTAAACACACAGGGGACACGGTGAATTGAAGTAATGCTGTTGTCAAGAGATAATTAAAATAGAATTCTCTAAAATCTATCAATCCACTTTTATTTTAACATTTATGCATAGAGTGAGCTTAGAATGTTATGATTATTAAAAACAAAATTTCAAATAGTTATTGGATATTCACGACCATATAGTTTTTAAGTTAAAGCATTCCATCAAATAATTATTTGTGTATGTATTGGTTGGAGGTCTGAACGGTATGCTAAAGTATCAATGTGTAAAGGTATTAAGAATGATAAAAGTTCTTTAGGTTAACACGTTTTCTAAATCTTGAAACATGTGAAATATATTCGATTTCAGAAAAATACAAACACAAATATAGGTGACTCTTAACAGTTCACGGTTTCCATGCTTAACTTTTATGTAGTTTACTAAAATGATTGAAGATATGAGTTCAATTATGTCTTAGACCAATGACTTTCCGATAGAATAACTATTGATTTAATTAACTAATACTTTGGAATTATTATTGTCTTTAATTAGAAAGAACTTACTTTTAACCAAACTCCAACGTCTCCCGTGTGAACAAAGCCCTCTGAATCAAGGACTTCTTCCGTTTTTTCCTGATTTTTATAATAACCAAGCATATTAGATTTACTACGAATGCATATCTGAAGCGAAGAAAGTTAAGTTTTGTGTATAAATATGTGTGTGTTTATAAGTTCAACTCAGGAGGAGTAATTACAAGGTTACATAAGTTTTACTACGATTCATAAAATCCTGTGTCACAAAATTATAACCCTGTTTACGTAATTTCATCAAGATGACAAGTAGGTTATGTTCGAACATTTTATTGACTAGTTTTTCTTTTGATTTTTTCATTTTATTTTACGTCACACAAAGCTATTTTTAAGTAATCTTCAAAACTGAATAAATGTTTTGCTTCTTCATGGTGTGTGAGGTGTCACTGAAAAAGTATTAAAATTCACCACTTAAATTTTTCACTTTTGATAGGCAGTAAACATTAATGTTAAACAGAATTTAGCAAAACAGACACCTTGAATACTTCTTTACCATAACTTCAACATAAGAAATGATGTAATCATTCATAGCATAATTACTTTTCCAGAAATAATCTGTCTCACTTAGATTAAACTTTCAGTGGTTGTGGACAACTTAAATGACATGACTGTTTTACATACACTAAAATATTTAGCTCGTGTCTCCATGCATTATCCTTTGATGAGGATCATTAGTTATGTTGGAAAATAAATTTGTTATGTATAAACAACACATCATCTATCTGAGTTGAAAACTACACTTTGTTTCTACTCACAACATATTTCACTACTCGTAACTACTACTTTGCTGTTGTTTATTATAAGAGTATACGATATCAAGATCCTATTGCAACCTAGGATGCATTTGACAGAAATACTCAGACTTTTTGCTAAAGGATCTCTATCATCTCGAATTATTTGACATCTCTCTAGATGAACGAGTTATGTGCAGACCTACTTATAAAAATAAACAACTCCTTTTGACAGAGAGAATATTAATGATGACACCATAAACTGAGGTCTATTATGACATTAATTTATTGCTTACCTCTTAATTATCAAGCAGCTCTTAACTTGCTCATTCAGAATACCTTAAAAGCCAAGATCTGTTGTATGTATATTCTGTAAGTGTTATTTAAAAACCTATCGGTTTCTCTCATAAATTTTTAAAATTTTACGAATACTTAGTGAATGTATGATCTGATAGCTTCCTGTACACATGAGCATCTGTTTCACCGGTTATTAATTTGAGTGCGTAGTCATCATTCACCTCAACCATTTACGGATAGATATATCATGATGAGAAATATTCTGTGATTAGAAAATTCATAGCATAATGTATAAATGTTTCCACGGGTTATTAAGACTCAGGTGACAAAGTTATCTCAGATCTCGTCAAATTGATATTTAATTATTAGAATGTTTTATTATTTATTAAAATGAATATTTACTAGATTACAGTTAAACTTGAAAACTTTTATTTTATTAATGTACATAAACATATTTGAATTGACAAGAATATGACGTATAAAACGATTCTCAAAAATGTACGGTTTTTTATCTACTTATAAAAAATCAGCGGAAAACGACTTGTTTTTACTTTTTCTAATATATAAATCATCAAACTTCACTTCCTTCTTTCTCTAAACTTATAAATGTTTTAATTATTTCGAATAAAATAAATTTATGTCATGTATTTACTCCCTGTATTTTATGTATTTTGACCTAGTAGTGAGTAGCTAGTGTCAATGACTAATTTTCAAATTTACAATATTCTTTGTCGAATCCTTATAATCGGTCTGTTATTCTCATATCTGTGAGAAATAAAATTCTACAACTTGATAGTTACTTGGTTTCCTATAAAACCGTTTGGATCATCCTATCGTTGATATTCAGCTATGACTTTAATCACTCTTTGTTATTATGTGCTTTCTGAGGGGATTGCCTCAACGTATCTTATATCTTTGATTCTATTGCTGGTAAAAATTTAAATTTATTTATTTTTGCTTAAATTTTAAGGTGAAAATTTAATTTCAAATCATAAAGTACCTGAAAGATTCTTGTACATTGTGATGTTTTCAATAACAAATTTTGTATTCGAGTTAGATAAAATAGGTGAAATCAAAACATTTGGTCCTCATTATACTCAATTATTGTGTAATTTTACTTGTGTAAGTTTTATTAGTGTGAAAGCAGTGACTAAAACTATCAAATTAATTATGAAGTTGATGATAAAAATCTAAAAATGTACATAAGTACCTCGGTATATTACAGAGTTATGTTTCCATTCTTATCCACTATATCATATTTCACTGCTTTGAGATTATGCAATAATAGCCAATAGTAGAGTGTGGTAGGATTTCATTCCATTCAGAACTTATTAACTGAGTAAATATTAACCTTAGTAAATATTTAACTCCTAATTAGAATTCCAAAAAATAAATCCCTTAAAGTTGATCATCAAGATTTTGAATGACGAAATATGCCAAAAATAACCAAGATATTCTCTGCTATCAAAATAATTTAACGTGTATCAAAATAGATTTCAAGGTAGTACTCTGTGCTGTTTCCAGTTCATGTTAAATGCTAGTGTTGTAGAATACATAAATATTTGTGATCTCAAAAGTAATCATTCATTATTTCATTTTAGGTTATAATAAATGAATAACTAAACTAAGTAAGGAAGTTGAACATATGGCTTTTAGTTTATAGGTTCAAACAAAATAATCGTAAATTATAAAGTTCCATTTTTTGTTTGTAAAGTAGCAATCTATTAAAATTCTCAGCAAAACTGAACTGCGATTGGTTTGAAACTATTATAGTTCGCGGTTATTAATTAGCATACAAAAATCCTTAATGAAATATAACAGAAAGTTACCTCTCCCATTTGATCTTTGGATACGAATATACCCATTTCCGGAACATCTATTAGTTTGATTTGCACACCAGGGGAAATAGCTCCAACATGATAAGCATCGACATCTTCAAACATTGTACTGCATACTAAACCAAGTGTTTCTGTCGATCCGTATACTTCACTAACCTAGCCAATGTTCAAAGATTGCTATTAGAATGGTAAAGAATGTCATTATTCTAAAAATGAATGATGTTCATAATTTTTTGTATATACTGTATTATTGCATAAAATCATACTCCCCTTAGTTGAAAAACTTTTAATAAAATTAATTATAAAATTGGGATGTAAAGAATCTCCAGAATCGATAAATTATATTCACATAGTATTCAGCAATGATCTTAGATTATGCATATTTTAATAAAGTACTGACTGACGTTTACTACAGCTAACGGTATTGCGTGTTTTGGTTGATCTATTATCAAGAGACAATAGTCCCTACTGAGGTAGAATCTTGAGTCTACAAAATCACAAGTGAGAAGAAATACTAGCAAAATAATCATACTTTTTCTAACTCCCTGATTTATTTAATGAGATTTTACATAGATGATAGAAAGTATTTTAATTTTATCCTTGTATACGTTGAAATCGAAAAACGTGATTAAAGTAACGACTTTGGAAATCTTATGCTAGTCCTAAAGTGGATTATTTAACAACGACCCTAGTTATTTCGGATTTCCAGTTGTATGTACATAGAACATTGTGAGTTCTATCTTTTTATTAGTCTATATCTATATCATCTTTAGTCTGAGTACTGGATGAGTGATGGAATTAGTTACACAAATTTTTTGATAAAATAACTAATTCCTATGGTTTACGTTGTGAGAAACTGAAAGTAATTTATGAAATAAATGAATCCACACTATTCTGTTATGACTGTCATTAACAGTTGTCACACGGTCAATTCTCTGAATGGATTCGATTCGTCGTAAATATAATCTTACATAATATTTTATCGGGATCTTATTGGTTTGAGCAAATACTACTGCATAGTCTCTTGACAGGCACCTAGTGAACATTATTTGTTCCTATTTAAACAACACAAATTCTCAGTATTAATTACAATAAGAGTTGGTTCTTTGTGAACAAGTAAATCAAAAACGAATTCTTATACGAAAAATATTTCAAATATTAGACTTACAGGACAGCTCAAAACAGCTCTAATGAAGCAGAGAACATCTCTATCTATTGGAGAGCTACCTGAAATAATAGCTCTTACTCGACCACCCAGTAGTTCACGAAATTCTCGAAAAAATAGGAAATCTATTATCCCATTCCTTCGATATATTCCACTACAACAAGTAATTATTATAAAAGTTATTTTATTGTAAAATTGAGAAATATTCACGACAAAATCTCATTTCAACTAAAACAAATAAAATACTAAATTAAATATTCACTTCTCTATTTCTTTTGTTTAGTTTGAATGATAGATACAAAAAGGTTCATATGCACACACATTAATATATGTATTCATACTAGTTACCCTTTTGAGCTTTTCATAACTACTTACCGTTTCTGTTCTTCCATTCTCTTGTTTATTTCGTATTGACATACTTTCCGAATTATTGGTTTAGAATGCACTTTTTTGGAAAAATTCATATATAATCGAACAAGCAATCTTGGAACAGAACAAAAAAACGTTGGCTTAAAATCTCTAAAATCATCAAATAATGACTCAATACCATCAGTGAGAAAACCGATTCGACCACCAGAAAACATGGCCAACATCTAATTGAAAGAATAGGCAATGAAATGAAACTTAGTACCAATTTACTTGTGAGATTAAGTCACTTGAAATAAAGTTAAACAGTTAAAAACAAGTTAGTAGTAGCTCTTTTTTTAAATATTACTGCTGGAGGACGATGAATATTATTCTGTAACTAAAATATCTGGATTAAAAAGCAGATTTCATTATGGATAATTTTTGCATCCGGTATATATATATATATATGCCAAAGGAATTAACTAAGTGCCAAAGCTGTTTGCTTACTGAAAAACAATAGATATTTTAATAATGATTTGAAAACAAGTTATTTGGTACTTATATTTAAAAATCCACCAGTCATGAACATTGAATACTACTTTGAAAGGTTAACTCCAATAAAATCACCATACATTTTAAACTTTCGTATTAGATTCTCTTTTAAGTGACTCATAATATCACATAACTATTATGCAGCTAAACATTTGTTCAGATTAAATGTTGAGTGGAATGAATCTCACTTTCGATCATTTTTTTAATTAAATACTGAACAATTAAATATTCAGTGGGACCGCTAGGATGAGCAAATGAAAATTATAGTTCAGTTGTCCAGTCCCAATCCCGGATAAAGGAGGGTTGAAGATGAGGTCAGCAAACTCTGTAGAAAACGACCATGCTAAGAAAATGCTAACCAGAATAAACAATTTAAACCATTAAAACTCTACTCTGTGAGTTGAAAGGTCCCCATTCAGAAGAATTATGACGTCTCATGGCGAAGACCGAAACTTTTCAGTAGTCAAGAGGTTGATTTCCCTTTTGACAACCAGAGCAACAATTAATATAGGTACATGAAATGTCCGGACAATGTGGGAGACCTGGGAGGCTAGTCAAATAACTACGGAAATGAGGAGATATAACTTGGACAGAATTCAAGAAAAGAAGAGCAAGAAGACAGTAATTAGCAACAGCCGAACAAGAACAGTGAAAGTCAAGGCACAGGCCAAACACACAGAAGCAAACAAGCAAGTGAAAAGGAGCTACCAATCAGAAATACGTAGAAGAGCTCGCAACGACAGTGGAAGAGCTGCAACAGAAGAAAATATCAGACAACTATATGATACAACGAAAAAACCGATAGGGAAATATAGTAAACAAGAGAGACCAGTTTAGGACAAAGAATGAAAGCCAATCACTGAAACTGAAGAACAGATGAATAGATGGGTAGAACACTTTGAGGAGCTCTTGAATCGGCTGGTCCCATTAAATCCACCAGACATCGAAGCAGCGCCTACAGACCTTCCTGTAGATGTCACCCCACCAACGGTCGAGGAAATCGGGATAGCCATCGGACAGATGAATAGTGGGGAAGCAGCGATACCTGACAATATGCCAGTTGAAGCACTGAAGTCAGACATAGAAGCAACTGCAAACATGTTACAAGTCCTATACATGAAGACTTGGAAGGAGGAAATACCAAAGGAGGAGATACCAAAGAAAGATCTAAGCAAATGTGGAAACTACAGAGGTATCACACTATTACGTGTACCTTGGAAAGTTTTCTAAAGAGTATTGCTGAACTGGATGAAAGATTCAGTGGACACCGCACTTCGAGATCAACAGACCGAATTCCTTAAGGATCGGTTTTGCACAGACCGAATCACGACACTATGGATCATTGTTGAACAATCAGCTAAATGAAACTCTTCACTGTACATCAGATTCCTTGACTATGAGGTGTTTGACAACGTGGATAGGAGAACCTTATGAAACCTTCTTTGACACTACAGTGTGCCTGAGAAAGTTGTCAATATCATAGGGAATTCATACGACGGACTACATTGCAATGTGTCACATGGAGAACAGCTAAGTGGGTTATGAACGCCTCCGCATCTCAGGGGAGCACTGAATACAATAGATAGCTTGGATGCATCTAGATGATTTGGACTTCGAAGATGACCTAGCTGTTCTATACTATTATTATCAACAAATGCAGGTGAATACAGATAATGTAGTAGCAGCCTCTACAGTAGTTGGTCTTAACATACACAGTGGAGAACGCAATCACACATGATTGAGAATCTTAGAAGAAATGAAAATTTCTACACATCGATGAACGCACGAGGGTTCGATGCAGATGTAGAGGCACGGATTAGGAAAGTGACGTCAGAATTCCTACAATTAAAGAACATATATGACTCAAAACGTCTGTCAGTCAACATCAAAATCAGAATCTTTAATACGAACATGAAGACAATTCTACCGTACAGAGTTGAAACTTGGAGAACTTCCACAGCCGCCATCAAGAAATTCCAAGTATTTATAAACGATTGTCTACACGAGATACTGAACGACCGTCAGTCAGATATCATCAGCAACAGTCTACTGTTGGAAAGAACAAACCAGCTTCCAAATGAGGAGGAAATAAGTAAAACGTGGTGGAGTTGGGTCGGACATGCATTATGGGAATCATCAGACTGCATAGTAAGGCAGTTGCCAACTTGGAATCTTGAAGGAAAACGGGAAACAGAGAGACCAACGAATACATTTCGTCGGGAATTACAAGCAGACATCGAAAGAATAAATAGCACTCAATAATAACTAGAAAGGAATGCTCTTAACATAATTAGAGAATACTGGTGGGTTGTATATGCTTTTTCGCCAGAGACAACAGGCGTTTGTGAAGTGAATATTTTATTTTAAATGTTTAGAGTTAATATTTAAGATGATGTGATAGTGTTTACTATCCTTCGCCGTATACGTTCAAGATAATCCGTTTCCTTTGGGGAATGAAAGGTAGCTTAAATTAACCAGGACGTTTATGACTGGTTAAGTTGGGTAGTAAATTTTTTAACATAGAAAGCCATATGAATAGATCTCAAAGCATGGACGATTTGGAAGGACCAAAAACCATGAACCTTAATGTAAACATTTTTCTGTAATTTGCCTTTAACCAAATTTAAAAGTTTCATAAATATATATCAGCATGATTGATAGTGTTTTCTATGAAACGTAATTAATCAGGTAAATTCCCTTCAAACTTCATGTGAATGCAAATAATTTATTAATAACTTGCCATCGTTAGCTGTTCCATCGTGTGTGATAAAGGCAGGAATGAAACATGTGACAAATCTTCAGTTGAAAAATGCTGTAACATAAAATATAAACGTAAAAATATAAGTACTAATAATCAAGAACTCTATCATATTCGTTTTGTACAAAATCTGACAAAGCTTTATAATGCGTACTGTTTGCTTTCATACTCAATACGTTTTCTCTTGTTAAAAAAACCCTGAGGGAAATCAAATCAAACCTGCTAGGCTCAATCTCTTTTTTCAAGAAATACAGAAAATCGATATTGTTCGTATCAAAGGTGATAGCTTTCTTGGATGTCTAAATATAAAATGAAAAGTATTCGCACATCTTTTTGTTGCACATGAAATGCAATGTGTAGACACTGAATTCTACAGCCATATGAAAACCTATTATTCTGGATTGAAGATGACTATATTACTAGGTCATATTTTGTACATAATATCTATTTTGCAGCTCATATTTTATATTTGATTAGTAATCATTAGTAAATACACAACGTGGTTAAGCAATGATTTATAAGTTATTAAACTATTCTCCCTGGAAATAGCAATTTACTCACAAATAACCAATTAGTCGTAGTATTAGTATTGCCTGTTGTTCCCAATGGAGCATAGGTCACCGATCAGTAATCTTCAACCCACTCTGTCCTGGGCCTTCCTTTCCAGTTTTATCCAATTCTTGTTCATTTTTCTCATGTCTGTCTCCATTTCTCGGCGTAATATGTTCTTTGGTCTTCCACTTTTCCTTTGGCCTTGAGGATTCCAAGCGAGGACTTGCCTTGTGACACAATTGGGTGCTTTCCTTAATGTGTGTCTTATCCACTTCCAGCGCTTCTTCCTGATTTCTTCCTCCGCCGGAATCTGGTTTGTTCTCTCCCACAATAGGTTGTTGCTGATAGTGTCTGGTCAACGGATCCGAAGTATTTTGCGTAGACAGCTGTTAATAAACACTTGTATCTTCTGGATCATGGCTTCCGTAGTTCTCCAGTTTTCCGCCCCAGTAGACAGTAGAACTGTTTTGACATTTGTATTGAAAATTTTGCCTTTGGTGTTGGTTGACAGTTGTTTCGAGTTCCAGATATTCTTCAATTGTAGATATGCTGCTCTTGACTTATCGACCCGTGCCTTCACATCTGCATCAGATCCACCGTGTTCATCAATGATCCTGCCCAGCTATGTAAAGGTTTTTACATCCTCCAAAGCTTCTCCGTCGAGTGTGATTCGATTGGTGCATGCTGTGTTGTGTCGGAGAATCTTGCTTTTCCCTTTGTGTATGTTGAGACCTACTGCTGCAGATGCTCCTGCAGCACTATTGTTCTCCTGCATTTGTTGTTGTGTGTGCGATTGAAGATCCAGATCATCTGCGAGGTCTAGGTCGGCCAGCTACATCCTAACTATCCACTGTATCCTATGCTTCCCCTCAGACGTTGACGTCTTCCTGATCCAGTCGATCACCAGGAGAAAGGGAAAGGGTGAGAGTGAGCAACCTTGTTTGACACCGGTCTTTACCTCAAACGAAATTATTCGTACAGAAAAATAATTATCATCATACATAACGTATTAGATGATGAAATATGAGGTAGTCTAATGGTGAACTAGCATGAGAAGTATTTTGATATTCGTCGAGTAAATATGAAATGTAAACAAGTTATATGATATTATTTAGGGAATCTTGTTTACATTCTATTCTTTACGTTCAGTTCAAACAAACAATGGAAATTTAAGTGCTTTATGCTATCTTAGCTGTTTTCTACTGTTTAAGGAAATTAAATGCACAGTGATGATGAGTCTCATACTAGGACGAAATGGCCGTCCATTACTTTCAAGTTTTCAATGATGGTCTAACATTGATCCATTCATGATACCAGTTTAAACTCAACAATCTCCACAACTCTAAACAGATAATTAAATAGTAGTCAATGCATTATAAAACCCGTTCTTGAAAACGTTATTTACATTCAAAAAGTAAGCGCTAACAGGATTTCATTCATTTTGTAAATCCACCATTCATAGACATCAGTGATGGTAAAGCATTTTATCTTATAGGAATTTACTATTTCAGGTTACTGGTTGCCGATACAAGGGTTAGTTGATCAGTTCAGTATTCGTTCTGAAAACGTTTGAATCTGAAACCATCAAGGTATAGGTAATGGAGCATTTAGTTTCCTTTGAGAGAGAAAGTCATTAAAGCAGACCCAGATGTTAGCCATATTTACAGCCGTTCTTGTGAAATACTTAAACTTCATGAAATTATATGTATTCTATTTGGAAAGAAAACCTCAAATATCATAGCTTATTTATCTACACCGTTAGCAAATATTTCGAATTGATGTGTCCCAATCAAATGATTTCATGGAAATAAAAGCATGAAAACAGGTCAAAAGTTCATAAATACAAATATAGAACAATTTCATTGCAATTTATTGATAATTTTTGATGGAAAACCAATATTATTATCTGTTAAGATACGTCTCATTTTAATCAGTAGGGAAAAACAACCTAATTAGTCAGAAAGTAGTCGTTCGAAGAAACCTGAATCTGTTCATAGTAATAAAGTTAAACTGGTCCATTTGAAGAACAGTGGATCCCTACATATTAAACTTCTAATAGCAATACAAAATACTTTGGTTTTGCTCTCAGGAAAACAGGATATTTCAACAGTTTGTTGTAACGTGTAACAATTCGAACAAATTACATTGAACTTCTCAAGTTTAACCATTTTTTACAACTAAATATTGATGTGTAAGAAACTGACACAAACATCATTTATGAAAACGGTAAAAACCCTGTTCTACAGCTTACAAAATAAATACATGAGATTCATAGATCAGTCATCAGGTAAATGTAGAAAATATTTCCGATCGTTTGAAAATTTCCTTTAGATACTTATTCTTTTGCTTTCACTTAAATATCTTATTTAACTGTTTGAAGCACTTTTGATTATCTTGTCCTCCAATATATACAGTAACGACGATTGAAGTTAAGAGAAAATCTATGTAACTTTATGCTTAGGAGTTACCTTGAATTTATTCCCCACCATCTAAACTCATGAATTTATTAATTGTACTAAGTAAAACCAAAAAGAGGTCTATCTTACAAAATAAAACTCTATCAAACAACAAACGTTTTCTTTCAATTAGTAACAGTAAAAAAAAGATAATTAACACCATATATAAATATATCTACTTCTATTTTATGAATATATATGTCTCAAAATATAAGATATTTGATTAGATTAGGAATAATACTACTATTAATTCTAGACTAACATTTTCTTCTGCCAAGCTAATAGTTAGCTTTGCGGCATTTAAATAAGCTTTGTTTGTTATCATAACTCCTTTGGGTAAACCTAGAGGAAAAAAGGGCAAATGAAAAATGAGAACAATGAAATTTACCGTATACTCCTGTTTTCTTTAACTGTTATGACATAAACTAAGATATTGATTCATTGGCTTAGTTATTTCAATTTTTAAAGTTTAATCACCATGAATCACTGCGGAAATGTATAAAATCAAATTCTCACTATTTATATACTCTTACTGAACAGTAGCTTCGATATTAAGGAAAATAGTTTATCTGCGCCACTGTTTTTATACAGTATGGTAATACTGTATGACCATGGTAATATTCCTTTTTATGAAAGACTGTGCAATTCAAAGAAAATATTGACATAATAATCGCGTACTCACTTGCAAATAATTTCACCATTTCACCACTTCAGTTTTGATTCGTTATCGGTGGAGTCAGACAAGTCCTGACTGATTCAGAAACCCATATCCCATACGGAATTATAACCATACTACATCACCGGTTACTTGAATGTTAAAGTTCAATTACTAAATTTCAACTCTACGATTCTATAATATTATTTAAATTAGAAGATCCCAAAGTCGTTGATTCTACCTCATATGACGTCATAGGTGCGCACTTCAGAGAAGTCATGGAATATAATGAAGCTACATTTTTGTATCTTGATTTTGAGTATTTCTTCAGCTAATATTACCCTATGATAGAAACTACTTTAGACACTTAAAAATTAAGGCCGTAACATAGTAATGTCATAAGCTCTTCGTTAAATTTCGAACCTAATTAAGGGTAATGATTTAGTATTATAATTACTGTTAAGAGTTATAAGTTCATAATTTATTGAGAATTTATTCAAAATGTAAAGAGCTAATTGCTTTGAAATGTAAATTATGATAATGGAAATCTCTATGGTTTCTTCATTTAACATAGGCTTCATAAATGGTTAGCTCTCATGATTTTTCTTGGATTAATTAGAAAGAAAACAAACAAAAATTGTCCGCCTCCTTATGATATAGACTTAGCAACAACTTTTTAAAGATTTGAGGTACAAAACTCCGACTTAGTACGTATTATGATATATATTCTAGATTACTTGTGCCAGGCCAAATAAATTTCTCTCATAATTCTCAAGGACCTATCGAAAATAATCGACACATGTTTAAATTATATTATTTAGCGCATATGACTTTTTACTGTACGTTACTGTTTGCAAAAACGACAGGTGATAATATAAAGTTCGGAGTTTACAAATTTTATGTAACACCATGATGAGTTCAACAGAAAGAATGTGAAATTTTCTACTAACCAAATCAAGCTATGTCTACCAGATATCTGACTTTTAAACGAACAGCTCACATAGATTAATTTATTTGAACTTTAACATCAAGATTACTAACAAACAATAGTGTTTGTATTATGATCTACCAAACCTCATATCCGAATATCGGCACTACAAAAAACATTGCCATTTATTTTACTACTCCATTTGTCTGTATTTGGTTTACAAAATCAATGACTGAAGACTATCTTAATGGTATATAACAAATATATTATTTTTAATGATAACACTTTATCCACTGATCAATTTCCTTGAAATTATCAAATCAAATCTTGATAATGACATCTGCAAAATTTAAGTAAGTAAGAACAATAACGTTATCGAAACCAAGTGAATTAATTTAATTTCGTAGTTTCTTATCAGCTGTAAATAAAAAATAGTTATAAATGTGAGTTTCTTAGGCAAAATTAAATATAAATCAGTCTATGATTATTTTATCAACTATTTGTTTTTATCTTAATTACATTTCTTTCTATATTCAACCTCCTTATACGTTTGAATTGACTGAGTTGATCCAACTCGTGTATTCGGTAATTGGTAATGGATTTGTTAAAAGTGGAAATTTTCTTCGCTCAGGGTGATCCTCTCCAATCATATGTTAATTAAGAATAAAAGTGAATTAGATATTAACTGTCTGGAATCACTAATTAGTTTTCAGTATATTAATTTATTCTAGTTGAAAATTATTTTCTATCACATCTCAATAAATGTCGTTAGAATAGGCTAAATGGAGTCTATGAATTAAGAATAAATTATTTTATTTCACATTAAGGTGTGCTTTCAGTGTCCTCTAACTTTCTAAATTGCTTTTAAACCGTAAAATGACATTCGTTTGTTACAAATACATGAAAATTGTCGATTTCCAGTGTTATAAGTAAATCTACCTAAAGATCCACTGGTATATAGTATCATGCATAGATCGTCGCCATCCGGGACCTAAAAATAAAATGTAGAAGCAGAAGCTTAAAAAAGAACACATTAATCGGTATATGGTGATTTAAATTGACTTAAACCATATTTTACGAAAAAATAAGAATAATTATTTAACTGAATAATGACTTGTTTTATGATAGAAAATCGCAAATATTGAAATCAGTTGTTGATATTCATCGAAAATCATGGATATGGATAAGTTTGTAAAAAAATTATATTTCAATAAAATTATAATGATTATATGGTGTACTGTTTTCCTAATACAATCATTTAATTACTGTAATATTCTGACTATCATTTTTTTGAAATGTGAGGTACTATATACTTTATTGTCCGACCGATTGACTGTCCCAAGATGGATGTGTGAACCAGCACAACGGAAACATTACTGTTAATCGAAAAACGACTATTAGCATTCTACATATTTCATTTTTTCATAAATATCTATGTACAGAACTTACAAGAGGTTGAATTTAAATATTCAAGACTATGTACTAATAATAAACTGTATTTTTACAAACCTCTGTTGTCGTGTGGAAAGAGTTTACAGTTATAATAAATTACTAATAATCATCTATCCTGAAGATCAAGTTAATCATTGTGCCATTTCGAAAGAAGAAATGTTATTCACTTTAACTGAATGGCTTTATCAAATGACGCTTGACGCTAATCTTTACCGTAAATTATCTAACAGTTATGTACTACATGTAAGTGTTACTTTCATCACTTTATAAAATCATATCACCCAAAAGAACCACTTTGAAAGTTAACCCCTTTCTAATCAATATATATATATATATATGAGTTGTTAATCTCAAACACATTACTTGTTCAATGCTTAATGAGCTTAGAAAAAATTCGAATATTGAAATTACTGAGCTCGTAGATGATCTCCACGTATTTTGAAATAATTTCAAAATTACTTGAGAGGTTTTTACAGGATGATGCATTTTATAAAGAATTGATTTGCTTTATTTAAAATAAACGTTTTAAACCTCTGTTTTTTAATATTTAAATCACTATCTTTAAGAAGTGGAAGCTACGATAAATCAAATATCGCTTCGCAATGTAGGAGGGTTGGCATAAATGTTTTTATTAGGTTGCGCTTCATTCAATACTAAGAATCAACAACGTTTCTAAACAAATTCAAAAAACTTAACAAAACAACCTATTTCAATTGGTTCGTTAAAACGACTATATTGATATATGTCAATATCGAAAAGTACAGTTTATATAAAAGTAACCAACTGATGGTTCTACTGACTTACCTTTTCAGGTAACCAATTAGTACATCCTTTTTCCTGAAATATAAGTAAATATTAGGGTTCTTCATTACGATATCAAGGATAAATTGTGGAGTAAATAGCTGAAAACACAAAATGCATGGTTAAATTGCAAGTCGCATAGTAAGCACTCTATAGGCGCCTTTCATCATTTTTGTTCAGTGGATTAATAGCAAATATTGCACTTCCTAAATATTTCTTTCATAGAAGAGTGAATATTATCGTAGTTATCTGAGACTTCATTGGAATTTTATGATATACCGCTTATGTGGAAGATTATCTTTCACTTATGTATTTCACGTTGCAAATACCATAGAAAACATGGGTATTTATAGCTTAATGAACCAAGAAACTTGGTTTACATTTTGCAAATCGAACCTGTGATTTTTTGCCAGACAGATCCTTGTCATTATCGCAGTAAGATAGTCACATTATTAAATTAATATAAGTCAAAACACCTGGCTAAAAATTATTCTGTCATTTAAACTACCGAAATAAATGCTCATCTTTCGCTACTGTTTACTTTTTTATTCAGTGTGTATTTGACCTAGTATACCTCAGTAAGCTTGATTGTTCTGAGTGAATACTTTCGTGGTTAAAAATAGAGATCATTGATTCATTCTAAAAGTTAATTTTTCTCACTATAAAAATAGTAGAGTAGTATATATACACTTAATAAAAAAGGTTAGCGTATTCCTAACTATGAATAGTAAAATAAACACTTAATTGATGTTATAACACTCTACTATTGGTTTTTTCCCTCATACTAACGTTTACAATTCTCTTGTTTTATAAATTTTACAGAATTAGCATTTGTTTGAATTACTTAAAACCATATATAACAACACTGTAATAGTTCGTGTTTATAATTAAGTGGTTCACTTTGTCAATGTCACGTATCTGAATGCAATATTATATATATATATATATATATATATATATATATATATATATATATATATATATATATATATATATATATAAACAATCAGGATTCTTAAAATCATACTTTATCCTTTTAAATTAACTGAAAGTTTATTGATTATGTTACATAAGCACTACGAATACGACACATGTATACGTGAACAGAGATATCAAATTTTTGTCAAACGTGTATAATTTGTTATATATAATCCGCTTAACTATATTATCATGTCTTAATAAACGAATTTTCTCATCTTAATACTCCATATCTCTAGTTGGTAATCTAAGTGAGTTTGCATTAATTCATCAGTGTATGACCTGATAGAAATTGAATAATGAAAACGACTTAATTAAATCAAACGAGATTTCTAGTTTTAAGTTCAAGAATAAACTTATGCATAATGGACAAGAATAGAACTACACATTTATGCCTTCTACTGAAAATGACACTATGTACCCCAGATCGATGAATTTCGTTGGCTAAGCAGTGAAAGAATGTACCACTAAACAGTTGTTGTGTAATATCTTAAAACTTTCCAACTTCGTACAATTATGATTTTATACATTATCTAACTCAAGCGTTAATCCTCGAGTTGGGCACTCCGCATTCAGATAATTTTATCGAAGTCAAATGATTCACATTTGCAAATCAAATCAACCCCTGAGATCTAGAACAACTGACAATATCAATATTATTTTTTATATAGCTGGAATATACCAGTTATGATTTATCACTTGAACTTCACAAATTCACATCGAAAAAAGTCATAAGTGAGCACACAACTAATTTTTAGTTCGTTAGTGAGACAGATGTTACCAGTTAAACTTAATAACTGTTACGAAATATAAATGTGGATATATGAACCATTTGATTACTATTTAGGGGTCTGAAAGCAATACGCTCCACAAAAAGATTAAAATACCCTGAGTCTGACAGCGCATGAAATAGTACTTACTTCCTTACTTACGCCTGTTACTCCTCGTGAAGGAGCATAGGCCGCTCACCAGCATTCTCCATCCAACCTTGTCCCAACCAATCCTTTCCAGCTCCTTCCAGTTCCTATTCATCCTTTTCATATCTGCTTCTATTATCCGACGCAATGAGTTCTTAGGCCTTCCTCGTTTCCGTTTCCCTTCAGGATTCCAAGTTAGGGCTTGTCTCGTGATGCAGTTTGATGATTTGCGTAATGTATGTCCTATCCATTTCCATCGTCTTTTCCTAATTTCTTCTTCAGCTGGAAGCTGATTTGTTCTCTCCCACAAATGGCTGTTGCTGATGGTATCCGGCCAATGGATGTTGAGTATCCTGCGTAAAGAACTATTTATAAATACTTGCACCTTCTTGATGGTGGTTGTTGTAGTTCTCCAAGTTTCAGCTCCATACAGTAGAACTGCCTTGACGTTCGTATTGAAGATTCTCACTTTGATATTGGTTGAAAGTTGTTTTGAGTATCATATGTTCTTCAATTGTAGGAATGCGACCCTTGCTTTGCCAACCCTTGCCTTTACGTCTGCATCTGAACCTCCTTGTTCATCGATGATGCTTACCAGGTATGTGAAGGACTCTACATTTTCCAGAGTTTCGCCATCAAGAGTGATTGGATTGTTGTTTTCCGCTTTGAATTTGAGGACCTTGGTTTTCCCTTTGTGTATGCTGAAGCCTACTGATGCAGAGACTGCTGCTACACTGGCTGTCTTTGTCTGCATCTGTTCGTGTGTATGCGATAGGAGGGCTAGGTCATCTGCGAAGTCCAAATCGTCTAGTTGATTTTGAGCTGTCCATTGTATTCCGTGTTTTCCTTTAGATGTCGAGGTCTTCATAATCTAGTCGACCACCAGGAGAAAAAGGAAGGGAGAGAGTAAACAGCCTTGTCTGACTCCGGTCCTTACTTGGGATGCATCTGTCATCTGTCCTCCATGCACGACTTTGCATTGTAGTCCGTCGTATGAGTTCCGGATAATATTGTCAATCTTCTCAGGAACTCCGTAGTGTCGTAGAAGTTTCCATAACGTCCTCCTATCCACACTATCAAATGCCTTCTCATAATCAATGAAGTTGATGTATAGTGATGAGTTCCACTCAACTGATTGTTCGACGATGATCCGTAGTGTTGGAATTCGGTCTGTGCATGATCGATCCTTACGGAATCCAGCTTGTTGATCTCGAAGTTGGGCGTCTATTGCATCTTTCATCCGGTTCAGCAACATTCTGTTGAAGACCTTCCCTGGTATTGACAGCAGTGTAATGCCTCTATAGTTTTCACATTTGCTCAGAACTCCTTTCTTTGGAATCTTGACGAGGTGCCCCATGAAATAGTGGTTGCATAATATTGAGAAGTTTTAAACTCATATATATTAACTTTAAGGTCTCCCACAGTCTTGATTGATTGTTTAGCTGAAGTACGTCCTCTGAAACAATTATTTCATCAACAATCCCTCAGCTGATTATATAGGGATATTTTCCGAAAGAAGGAATTCGCTGAAGTCAAAGAATAAATTATCGCTACTTCGTAATTTATAAGTGTAAGTGACCAACTGTAGTCCTTGAAAATCTATGTAGAAATAAAAAAGAATCCCAGACACGGTGGTTTTACGTAGACATGATCATAAACCTTTCAGTTTTCTATAGTTAATTCCTTTTAAATAAAAGAAATGCTTTTTGTTATTTAGTTTAACATACCAACATCTCTTCAAATGTGAACAATCGAACTTTATCTGAACATTCTTTTTTAAAAGATTCGAATGTGTTGTCTGGCTTCATAATAATAAATACTTTAAGTTTATGTGAATTGATTTTGTTCAGATGGCAAGCTTGAGATATTGTGTCACAGACAATAATTTTTAGTCCAGCTAAATTAAAATTGGAAGGAAAAATAAAGCTTGAAATAAGTTTACTTATCCGCAGGATAATCAACTATAGGGTTTCAGTAGTGATTACAAAACGATAAATAAAGGTTCATCTCGTATTTGGATTGAATTTGTATTGTATACTTTTATCAAGTTGGATGATTAGTAAAACAGAACTAGAGCTATTCATCTGAAATCTAATAATTTGATTGTATGTTAGCATTATAAATATGAAGAAGGTATTGATGTTGTCTGGAATGACAATGCGAAGAATGGAATCAAACAATTCAGCTTAGACAACCCAATACTACTGAAATACAGAAACATGATCACAAATTTATCTGTTTATCAAACCTGTTGCAAGTGTTAGTTCTATAAATCCAGATATACTTGTTTGCGATAATGTCTTTTTCACTTGACTAAAACGTCTTTCAAAGTAATAAGGTACTACTCTTTCTGAAGAAGCTCGTCATATTACACTAATTGTCAGATTTTATACTTTTCACACAATATCCACAGAATTATAACCTACTTTTTAGAGGTAATCAAACTTCATATCATTTAATAATTTTTATTTCGGACTTGAAGTATTGATATAGAAATATAAGCAAAATAAACTGGTTTTAGTGCATGTTTTACACTATAGATATTTGTAATCGCACCAGAGTAAATAGTTACCGAGCTCCCAACTCATAATTTATATTAGAGAGAAAAACAAAATCGATTCTTATCTTAATGTTTTGTAGTTAGACCAATCATCATTAATTAGTACGAGTAGTTTTAGCAACTATTCTCCAACATTCGTCAAATATGTATAATATAACGATGTTGAAACATCAGTTGACTTGAACCGATCTGATTTATTCTCATTATGTTCTTAAATTTATTCTGATCTATTTAGTTGAAAAAGGGGATCTTAATTTCTTCTGTAAGGATTTCTGTTTTGTTTTCGATTTTTACCAATGTTACATCGCTGTCGTTTAACTTCTTTTTCTTTCCTTAACGAACTGAAATCTGTAGGCAAACAAGATCAATGATATGATAAAATATTTAATATTTTATTATGGATCAGGTTGGGACCTAAGTCATGTTTTATTTTATTCATCTCTTATACCGTAAACTTATTTACATAACAGTTGTTTATGAATTCATTGAAATTAGAGGCCACTCAGGTGAGAACGTTTTCTAATGACATCCTTGAGGCATTTTAGAATCAATACCTGGATATCACATAAAAAGTCAATAGATATGTCAGTGAATTATGTATCTCAACAAGATTCAAAAGGATTTCTAATTAAGTAATAATAAAGTTCGTTACCAGGTGAGTTACTGGTTTACACATTTGTTCAGTTCAAAGACCGTGGTTAAAATAATCCAGCCTTTATATGTATTTTTATTACTCAAATATAGAGTTCTAATTGAAGGCATTGGTCCATACGAGGTTATAAATCGTACAGTTCTCTCTAGCGTTCAATATCTCGGATAATGACATAGATAATAAGTTACTCATTTACTTTCAAAAACGAATAAACTGACAAGCCTCATTTTATAAATGTCACGGACATTAGTAATTAAAATAGCTGAGTATTTATTTGGTGACCTAAAAATTCAATATATGGATATTTGGAAATACTTGGCAAAAATACCCTGGTTGAGTGATGGCTAAACTACTGCTCACTGAGTGTTTTACATGTAACTACATGTTTTCACACTTAATGAAGTAGATTTTATAATATTAGAAGAATAAATAATGATAAAATCTGGTATTATATAATTGATATTATTATCTGCCTACATTTGTTAATGTTTCATTTTAAAGTCAATATCGTTGTCTCATTTTTTAAACAAATTGTAGTATTCGATTAAAAACAACTTAAAACAACTTAATCCAGTATATACGCTACACGATATTAGACCGTAAATAAAATTTGTGAAAGTGTCGACGAAACTCAACCAATGTTAGTGGATGTTTATGGATATGAAACGTTAATAAAAATCCGTTTTTGCAGGTGATAATCATGATCAAGATAATCTAATGGTAACCTATGTTGATTAAAACATTAAACATGTGATTTTCCTCGTGCTTTCCTATTCATAATTACATTTTAGAATGATTACTAGTTATTTAATCTTTAGTGAATGGTTTGATAACAGTATTCCAGCACTTGAAGGATGTGTGAGACTATGAAAAGCAAAACAACGAGCCTGACGTCTAACGACTTCCAGGTATGTTCAGTAAAGTAAAAATGAGTATTAAAACATGTGTGTGTTTACAAATGTAGGTAGGATGTAGTTTGAGGACCTTAGGTCCAAAATTCTATAGATTTTATAAAATAACGTTCCCATGATCTTAGTTACAGCATTTGTTGGACAGACTTGGCATATTTATTTACAGCTGCTTAACAATAAAAACTTTCATTAAAAAAGACAATCACGTGAAATTATAATTTACTGATTTCTAGCTTTAGATGTATTATTGATTTCTTCCTAAAACTTCCTGTTTCGAAAATTTGCTTTGACTCCATAGAATACACGTATTTGCAAGGCTAATTCTTTAAATTACTTACTTTCATTAATGACATGAACTATAGCTTCATCACCAAAAGTACTGTATAACGGTACAGTAACAAACGAGTATGCAGCACCAGCTAACTGTGCTATCACCCACTGAAAAACAGGAAATAAGGAAACTACATATGATGCGTTACTATTTGCAACAATAAATAGCTTAATATGAAGGTAAACAAATGATTATTTCTGTCAAGTTCATACCTCACAAAGTTACTAAAACTTTTGTTTGTGATTGCATCAAGCAGCCAGTAAACGCAGTTTAAAAAACAACTGTCCTCATAAGTTTTAGACTTCTCAAAAATAAATGGATAAAATTTCTCCTTACATACAAACTTCTTGACAGAAATTTTCATGGTATCAAAGTGAAAATATTTCACTTCACAAAACGATATTTTCTGACGAAAGTGACTTAATCTAAAGTGTTACTTTATATTCACGGCATATGTATTAAGTTAATGGAATGTACAGATTTTTAGATTTTAAAGAAACTAAGTATCTAGTTTTTAGCACCTAGGTTTCAAATGACTTAACAAACTTCAAAATAAGTAATTAGATATGTGTATATATACGAAGTAAAATTATTTTAGAAAGAAAAATAAAATAAATGACCATTGAACAACATTTGTAAATTATAACTCATTTTATATTTATATCAAATGAACTATGACCATATAAAACTTTCAGAATAATACTATATGAAAATCTAAAAACTTTTTCGGAACATATGACTAAAACCTTCAGTGACAAATATTTCAATAGAAATGTATTATCTACGTAAATTATTTTAAAGATCATCCAAATAACAGAAAATTGGAAATACTTTGGTCTGTGTATTTTAATTTAACGATGAAATAATGTTTAGAAAATATCTTACAACTAACTAGGTTTGTTGAGTTGACTTTATACAAAAGCAGCAAAGTGTAAGAATGTTATAATTTATACTGAAATTCAGATTAGCATCTTTACAAACAAAAATGAAATTTTGTACCACCACATAGTTCTAATGTAATAAATATTTTTCACAGTGTTGAACTATCTAAGCAAATGACGTTTCCAAGACATCACTCAGGGTAGAAAAGCATACAAAAAGGAACGTAACAAATTTTGTTTTGCGCGGTAAATCACTTAATCTTATATACACGATAGTTTTTCTATTCAGGACTTGGAAATGCCAGAACTCGGTAAATCACTTTTTTTCTTTTCAAAGTATTAAGGCTAAAAAATACACTAAAGAAATTACTATGAGCTTTTGAATGTGTTATTTATCTTATAATCCAAATCATTTCCAATACTGACAAAATTGCCAACAGTTAGTCAGTCATCATCAACGTAAAACTGTGCACGAATAAATATTAAACGATGTTACCACATCTCATATCAACACAACTAAAGTGTTCTCCATTAATCTATGGATAGCTTTTATATCTATACTAACTAATTTATATGAATATTGAATTATAATTTGCTGTTCCTAACCCCCATGGTTCACGATCCTCTAATCCTTACAGTAGGACTTACGGTCACATTTGTTATTGCATAACTCTAGTAAATAATTTTCGTTAACTTATTTTACCGCCCCTAAAACTCAACAGTTTAATGTAATAAAACTGGTAACTGATACGGTTCAGTTTGTAAATGTCATTCATACTCCTTTTAAATATCGGTTTACTTTAAACTAGCTAAAATATGGTATGGTAATATGATTAACTTTAAATTTCTACGCAAAAGATGGTCTTTATAATATGTGATATTGTTTACTATCGCATTTAGTTTGCTGAGGGGACATATTTTGTACTATTCTGCATTAGCTATAATAAAGCTGAGCATCTGATTTTCGTTCAGTAGTTGTTTCTCGGCAAAATCCGGACCCCTAGACGCTTAAAATAGAAGGAAATGAAACATATCGCTTTCTACCTAATAAGTTTTAAAGTTAACATTATGGTTTACCATCGATTCTCTATGTTTTACGGTAATAAATTGGCATCCTGAATTATCGTAAAACAGTGATAAAATTAAGTTAGTTTCTAGATATCTCCCTAAAACATTAGGCTTTTAATAGCATCTTATTTCCTGGAAACATCTATGTTTTCTAGTCCGGCTGTAGATTATGAACACTTTCAAATACATTAACTCCGAATCTCATTTTGGTTACAATTCATTTCCTCTTACTGGCTAGACAAATATTTTATCAAATGTAGATTGCTTAATTAGCTGTCCCGTAATCACATTGAAAACTTACCTTCGGAGAATTTTTTCCATAAATTCCAATAAAATTATTCATGGAGATTTCTTTCATCAGTGTCGTTAATGCTGATCCAAACTGTTGAATTTTCTCATAAACCTGAATATTAAGTTAATGAAATTATAGTATTCCTCTTCGTTATTATACTTACCTCTTCATAAGTAATCCATTTAATTGGGGAGCTGAATGACTGACGCATTCCAAAACAACATTTATCTTCTGAATATTATAAATAAAATTCACAGTTAGTAATAAGTGATTTTTTCGAAAAATACCATTACCCTAGAATCATATTCATTTATTCACTTTGGAATAAGACAGAAGTTTATTTTTAACGAAGATGGAAATTATTCTTATCTTTATAACAAAGAACACACATTTAGAAATAAAAACCTAAAAGAAGATTACATAGTACGGTACGAATGAAGAGCCAGTTTAAAATATTTTCTACTTAACACAAAATATAAATTCCCTTTTATGTATTTACTATTATACTTACTTTTTTTGTCAAACACTTCTTGAATATCCTAGCTTTGAAGTTTTTGTAGTGCTATTTTACTATACTAGTAACACTAACAAACAAATGACTTTCTATTATATGTATATATTACAGCTATCTACAAATTAACTTTTGATTTATCTTGATTTATGATTATCTGAAAACTTGTGACAAAAAAAGTTCAAGGTGAAGTCTTGAGTAAAGTTTATATCTTAAAACATCTAACCCTAGAAACTTGTTTCCAAATAAAGTAATATAGTGTTTATAACCCAAAAATTGATGCAAGTGATGGAATTGATATGTCATGCATAGAATGTAGTTTATTCACCTAAATTTTCAAACGGTCATTGTGGGATTATAGGATTTAAAATAACAGCACATTCTACTACAGGAGCTGTGAGAACTAGACAGAGCAAACATCTAATATTTCTGCAATGGTGCGTACAAACGTCAAAGCCAAGTTATCAACTTGTTATAAGGACGCTATAAAATTGACCACACGACATTCTGAAAGTAGCACTGAAACTGATTGAAACATACGTTAGTATTATGCAAAAGATGACCCCTTGTGATGTTAGACTGCATGTAACCTGACATTGTTCATTTATGTGATAAAAACAAAGATTTAAATCTCCTCGTCTTAGCTGTAAGCAGATTAAATGGTCAAGAGTTCAGGGATATTAAATTTAAAAGCTTTTGTAATATGGTCTGCGTAATTATTCTTTCTGAACTTTAAGATATAAGAATAACGATTGTTTACATCATTAGTATTATTTGTTAGACACTAACCACAGCTTTAATATTAATTACTAACCAGTAAAGATAAACCTAATTAATAAACAAAGAAAAACATAAAACAGGAAACTCCAAACATTAAAGTATATTGAATAATATCTTGAATAGTTTGAATATTCGTTTCACTAAAAAAGAGGAATAACTAACATCAAACAAATAATTCTCAGGTGCCTTATGGTATTCATTAACCAAACGATCCAAGGTTACAATGAGTTAACGTCTTGAAAATCCGTAAAACCGTTTGATATTTGGTTAAGAATTATCAATCCAAGCCACACAAACACAATGAAATGACGATACTTACTTACTTACTTACTTACGCCTGTTACTCCTCGTGAAGGAGCATAGGCCGCTCACCAGCATTCTCCATCCAACCCTGTCCCAACCAATCCTTTCTAGCTCCGTCCACTTGTAATTCATCGTTTTCATATCTGCTTCTATTATCCGACGCAATGAGTTCTTAGGCCTTCCTCGTTTCCGTTTCCCTTCAGGATTCCAAGTTAGGGTTTGTCTCGTGATGCAGTTTGATGATTTGCGTAATGTATGTCCTATCCATTTCCATCGTCTTTTCCTAATTTCTTCTTCAGCTGGAAGCTGATTTGTTCTCTCCCACAAATGGCTGTTGCTGATGGTATCCGGCCAATGGATGTTGAGTATCCTGCGTAAAGAACTATTTATAAATACTTGCACCTTCTTGATGGTGGTTGTTGTAGTTCTCCAAGTTTCAGCTCCATACAGTAGAACTGCCTTGACGTTCGTATTGAAGATTCTCACTTTGATATTGGTTGAAAGTTGTTTTGAGTTCCATATGTTCTTCAATTGTAGGAATGCGACCCTTGCTTTGCCAACCCTTGCCTTTACGTCTGCATCTGAACCTCCTTGTTCATCGATGATGCTTACCAGGTATGTGAAGTATTCTGCATCTTCCAGAGTTTCGCCATCAAGAGTGATTGGATTGCTGTTCTCCGCCCTGAATTTGAGGACCTTGGTTTTCCCTTTGTGTATGCTGAAGCCTACTGATGTAGAGACTGTTGCCACACTGGCTGTCTTTGTCTGCATCTGTTCGTGTGTATGTGATAGGAGGGCTAGGTCATCTGCGAAGTTCAAATCGTCTAATTGATTTTGAGCTGTCCATTGTATTCCGTGTTTCCCTTTAGATGTCGAGGTCTTCATAATCCAGTCGACCACCAGGAGAAAAAGGAAGGGAGAGAGTAAACAGCCTTGTCTTACTCCGGTCCTTACTTGGAATGCATCTGTCAGCTGTCCTCCATGCACGACCTTGCACTGTAGTCCGTCGTATGAGTTCCGGATAATATTGACAATCTTCTCAGGAACTCCGTAGTGTCGTAGAAGTTTCCATAACGTCCTCCTATCCACACTATCAAATGCCTTCTCATAATCAATGAAGTTGATGTATAGTGATGAGTTCCACTCAACTGATTGTTCAACGATGATCCGTAGTGCTGCAATTTGGTCTGTGCACGACCGATCCTTACGGAATCCAGCTTGTTGATCTCGAAGTTGGGCGTCTACTGCATCTTTCATCCGGTTCAGCGACACTCTGTTAAAGACTTTCCGTGGTATTGACAGTAGTGTAATGCCGCTGTACTTTTCACATTTGCTCAGATCTCCTTTCTTTGGAATCTTGATGAGATGTCCTTCTTTCCAGTCCATCGACACTTGTTCCTCCTCCCAAATCTTTTTGAATAGAAGGTAAAGCATGTTTGTAGTTGCTTCGATGTCTGACTTCAGTGCTTCAGCTGGTATGTTGTCCGGACCCGCTGCTTTCCCGTTCTTGATTTGTCTGACGGCCATTCTGATTTCTTCCTTCGTTGGTGGGTTGACGTCTATGGGAAGATCTGTGTGTGCCGCTACGATGTCCGGTGGATTTATTGGAGTCGGGCTATTCAGGAGTTCCTCGAAGTATTCTACCCATCTGTTCTGCTGTTGTTGAATTTCAGTGATGACGATACTTACAGAAAATACTATACTTGCTTCGATTAACATTCAAACGACTCACATTATTATTATTAACATTATTTACTACGTCATTTATTCACTCTCTTTCATTCCCACTTTATGTATCCTTATTTTCCGACTTATACAGCAGCTCGCCCATGGTCGAAACTCGGTTCAATCTACACATTCTCGAGTCACTGTGCGGTTGAAAACTGTATGTTTCCAACGAATATGAGTACTGAAGCAGTTTTTCTGAAACCACGTGTACCATTCAAACTGGCTGCCTTCAACGTTCGCACACTTATGCAGGTCGGACAAAAGATAGGGCTGACTATGTCTTTGGAAAGTCTTAATATCGATAACAGCTATCTATCCGAGAACCGTATTCAAGACTCTGTTGAAGTACTATTAATTCGCTCTCCATCTAACGCTTCAAAAATCTTGTTTTACGTGCGCTTATCCGGGGACCCTGTGGCACCTTCGTCTGGTCTTGTTGGCGTTGGTGTCGCACTAAGCGCTAGAGCTGAGGCAGCACTCATTGATTGGATCCCCATCAACAGTCGGTTATGTACTGTTAGGTTAAAAAGTTTCATCAAAGTGAGGAGAAATCGGCGTGAGAAACGATGTCTTTTCGTCATCTTCGCCTATGCCCCGACAGACTGCAGCTGGGATGCAATCAGAGATGAATTCTACCACCAGTTAACTGTTCTCCAGAAAGTGCGTTCGACAGATATTGTAGTGCTAGCCGGAGACTTGAATGCTCAGGCACAGAAAAGAGTCGTTTAGGTGGCCGATGAGGACTCGTTGGTCGCAGGTCAGATAACCGGGACCGTCTACTGCAACTGTGCACAGACCACAACCTGTTTCTTGCTATCACTAACTTCCGGCTCAGTCATCGCCGATGTGCCACCTGGCGTCCTCCCTCTGCATCCCAAGCCTCCACTAAAATTGATCACATCGCGATCAGCTACCGCTGGCGTGGTTGTGTACAAGACTGCAGCTCCTTTTGGAGTACCTATCTGGACTCTGACGAGGCCTTGGTCTGTGCCAATCTTACCTTGCTTTTCAATGGCCAATGAAGTGACCGTTATCAACGGATTGATGTCAGCAAGTTGGTTGCAACTTCTGTTGCAAGTGAGTATCGAACCGAGCTAGCTTCTAGGCTAGCTACCATTCCACCGAAAACTGTAGATGAGCATTGGTTGCAGCTGCATGACGCCATGAAAATGGCTAGTAAAGTTACTTGTGGGTTCACGAAACGTCCCGCTTATAAGCACTGGGTTTCTTCAGGCTCCTTACAACACATCGAAGCCCGTCGGTCTACTCTGGGTGACCGTGAGTTTGACCACAAACGAAGGATGTTACGTAAGGAAATTGGGCAAAGCTTGCGCAAGGACCGAGAAGCCTGGTGGTCGGAGCGTGTTAATGAGCTGGAAGCAGCGGCCGGATCTGGTAACTTGCGGAAGCTCTTCCAACTCATCCGAGCAAACGGCAGTAAGAAGTCTGGTGTGAGCGAAATAATCTATGAGGATGACGGTATGCCAATCACTAACATCCATCGACGTCTTGGACGATGGGCAGAATTCTTCGAAGGGCAGTTCAACTGATATGCTGCTCCAACGACATAGATCAGACTGTCATGCCCTCCATGGCCGGTGACGACTGATCCACCAAATGAGGCGGAAGTTCGCAAGGAACTCCGACTCTTGAAGCGCCACAAATCACCTGGCCCAGATGACTTACCTCCAGCCCTTTTTACAGATAGTGGTGACTTTCTGACTAAGGAACTGACTGTGTTGTTTACAAAGGTCTTGGAGCTAGAGAGTATACCAACGTCATGGAATGAGTCGATAGTTGTCATTATCTTTAAAAAGGGTTCACGTCATCCCTGTAACAACTGTCGGACGATAAGTCTACTTCCGATTGCGTCCAAGCTATTGGCTTCCGTCATACTTCGTAGGTTGTTCAAAACCCGAGAAAGATTGACTCGCGAGGAGCAAGCTGGGTTTCGTTCTGATCGAGGGTGTATTGATCATATCTTCACCCTCCGCCAAATGTTAGAACACCACCATACTTATCAAAGGCCAACAATCGTAGTGTTTCTTGACATTAGGGCTGCCTTCGATTCGTTTGACAGGACTGTTCGCTGGGATTTTCTATTGAATAAGGATGTGCCTGAGAAGTTTCTTAACATCCCAAAGGCCCTATATACAAACACCTTGGGCAGAGTGAGGGCATACAACCACCTTTCTCCATTGTTCCATTCAAGCAGTGGGTTTAGGCAGGGCTGCCCAACCTCACCATTCCTCTTCAACTTTGCCATCGATGACATTCTGGAAACAGCTCTGATGGATGTAAGTAATGGTGGTGTGGATCTGTTGCCTGGAGAAAGACTTCTCGACCTTGAGTATGCAGATGATATTGTCTTACTGTGCGATAATACCCAAGCCATGCAATCCGCACTTAATCAGTTGGCAATCAGTGTCCGTAGGTATGGTATGTTCTTTGCACCTTCGAAGTGCAAAGTACTTCTACAAGACTGGCAGGATTCTAATCCTGTACTCACCCTGGATGGTGAGCAGATAGACGTAGTCGAGAAGTTCGTGTATCTGGGTAGCAGCATATGTGCTGGTGGTGGCGTGAGTGATGAGATCAATGCACGTATAGTGAAAGCCAGAGCGGCTTATGCCAATCTGGGCCATCTTTGGTGCCTTCATGATGTTAGTCTGGCTGTAAAAGTTTGGATCTACAACGCGTCGGTGAGAGCAGTTTTGCTCTATGCTTGTGAAACCTGGCCTCTCCGAGTTGAGGACGTTAGACGACTCTGTGTTCGATCATCACTGTCTCCGAAGGATTGCTGACCTCCAGTGGCAACACCATGTCAGTAATGCAGAGGTTCGGCATCGTGTGTTCGGGCACAGAGATGATGATGCAATTGGTGTCACCACCTTGAAACATCGACTTTCATCAGCCAACAAGCTTGTTACTAAATTATCGATAACTACCGTCCCTCCCCCCTCCAGAAATCAATTCGAAGTAAACTGAATATTGGCTGTCGACGCGCTTAAAATAATACATATAGATTGGTTTTGTAAGTGAGGTGCAGTGAAACGTTCAACTAAAATCACTTATGGCTAGTCACTAGGTTTTACTCAAACGTACTGAATGTTCACTAGCTACTAACAAGATTTGGAACCTTATCAATCATTCCTGAAAGATTTCATGTCGGTCATCTGGAAAATTTTAGAAAAACGTATGTACTGACTGCAAAACTTGATAGTCAGAAGGTTTTTTGACAACAAGAAAAGTAACTCTACTTGACAACTGTCAGAAGTAAAGAGTTATAATGTTGTAGTTCAGGCAGTCTGTGAAGTGTGTCTTTCCGAGCTGATGATGTGTTGAGACTCCATCTACGATTCTTGGATTTTTCCGAAGGGCTATTTGAGTGCCTGAAAACACTGTGTGAATAATGTTACTGTTCATCAATTATCAATCAGCGAATGATTCCATTTTGGAACACCAGTTTTGGTGACCTGTATGTTACACAAATTATATCTAAGAGAGTCCCATTTCCTAGTATTATTTTTTGATACTAAAAAGTGTATTTAGACTCATTTTATGATGCGTTGCTATGTAACAATGAAGGGTTATGTATGACTAAGATTTGTTGATAGTGCACGTTTTGCTGACTAGTTCCTAAACATGATGTAACTCAGTGGCCTTAAAAGTCATTAGGCATGCCCCGCAATAGAAGCTAGTAGCAACTATGATGTTATTTTTTATGCTGCACTTAAATAGTAAGACGCATCTTTCAATCTGATGAAGTTTATCTTCACCGCTTTTTATTTAAACCCTATCCTCAGATAATGTTTAGATCCGTTTATTTAATGTGTATTTACTGTGTGGCATACCTCTCAGTA